GCCCAAAAGAAACCAACAAATATCCAATCATCACCCACGGATCTCCCTACCGATGTTGGACATCAAAAATTGAAGAAATCAGCATGGACATCAGACAATCAAGAGTGGCAAAGCAGCAGGACCAGACAACATTCCAGCACAGGCACTGAAAGCAGACGTAGCGGCAACTGCAAGGGTACTCCACATTCTCTTCAATAAGATTTGGGATGAGGAACAAGTACCAAAAGACTGGAAAGAAGGACTTCTGGTCAAAATGATCTGGCCCTTCTATCGCATTCGCAATAACAAATGCAGGAGAAGACGAACAGTGTAGCAGCAGCTTCAGCAGCAATAGGTCTCGATATACACAAAGGGAAAAGCAGGATTCCTCGATACAACACAGCATGCAACAATCCAATCACAATTGACGGAGAAGATTTGGAAGATGTAAAAATCTTTACATATTTGGACAGCATCATTGATGAATATGGTGGATCTGATGCAGATGTGAAGGCGCGGATCGGCAAAGAAAGAGTAATATATCTACAACTGAAAAACATCTGGAACTCAAAACAACTGTCAACCAACATGAAAGTCAGAATTTTCAATACAAATGTCAAGACAGTTCTACTGTATGGGGCGGAAACCTGAAGAACTACGAAAGCCATCATCCAGAAGATACAGGTGTTTATTAACAGTTGTCTACGCAAAATACTTCGAATCCTTTTGCCGGACACTATCAGCAACAACCTATTGTTGGAGAGAACAAACCAGATGCCGACGGAGGGAGAAATCAGGAAGAAGCGCTGGAAGTGGTATAGGACACACATTGAGGGAAGCACCCAACTGCGACACAAGACAAGCCCTCACATGAAATCCTCAAGGCGAAAGGAGAAGAGGAAGACCAAAGAACACATTATGTCAGAAAATAGAGGTAGACATGAGAAAAATGAACAAGAATTGGATGGTATTAGAAACGAAGTCGCGGGATAGAGTGGGTTGGATAATGCTGTTCGGTGGCCTATGCTCCATTAGGAGTAACAGGTGTAAGTAAGTAAGTAAAATATACCTCCCTTGAATAAGAACTTGCAGTGTAATTTCAGTAGTTATGTCTTGCTGGCTCCAAAGTTAACCGTTTTTTCGGTCTTAATGCATCATATGGTATTAAGTGGTAAAAAAATTAGAAATATGGAAATGATATAGAGACTCACAAAATTTGTGTCAAAAAATTAAATGTATTTACAAAACATCCTAATTACTGTCTCCAACAGGCACAGTCATTAACTCTCATAACAGTTTATAAAAAAGACCCGTAATATTTAAAATGGTTTATTCGTCAAAAACATGGACCGGTCACTTATCAAAAGAAAGATATTTTCTAATAAGAAAGGATCGAGGTGCAATTTAAGGAAGAAAATAGACGAATTATCCGAAACTCCTTGAAATACACATATGCTTTGACTGGCGAAATGTTGAAAGTCTCTTCAGTTGAGATTATCAGGATTTTGATTATGGACGAAGAATTCAGTATGGTAACCTGGAAAACATTACGAGACAATTTAGATGACTTCAACTACATAGACAAATATATATATATATATATATATATATATATATATATATATATATATATATATATATCCTTTGCAGTGCATACTCAGGAGTTACAGTTCAGGTCATATACTTCTCGATACATCGACCATCCTCCGAATATAGCTTCAAAACATTTCATTGCTGAGTTCTAAATTGATTGGCTTTAGGATCCTCGGTAATCAATGTTAATAACAAAATGATATTAAGTACTGACTATTTGTGTAATCTTCAAAATATAAGAAATGAAAACTACTTGCCCAAGTTTTACGATCTAGTTTGTTGTATTCCTAAATAAATAAACGGTTATATATTGAAGCTACAGGTGAGACTATTTCGATAATATATATTTGGCCGCTAGTCTTAATAAATGTAAAGAAATTGTAAAACTTCAACAACTTAAGAATATTATGGAAGGGTACAATTACAATCAACATTGAAGTGATTAAAAGACTCATGAAGTAAACTAGTTTATACATTAAATATTATTATTGGCTTTATCCAATATATTTTTGATACAATGTAGAATTCTCAGCACAAAATATTTCAACAAGTTCTTTTTCCTTATTTCTTGATCTACACGAATGATAAATATTGAATGATCGCCAATTAAATGTTTGCATTTCAGTAATTATCATTTGAATAATGTACATTGTTTTCTATGCATATTGCCGCAATCGCGATATCTCTGATTCGTCTTTCTGTAACTTATGCAACAAAATGTCTTAAACGTTTCACAAACGCTCCTCTACAGCTTAGGCGACTATTGATCATAACGATGTGTTAAAACAAGTAAGAAAACAAATAACTTCTTGGAAATATCCAGATGATAGGAACAGATAACTCAAGTGCAGCAGTAAATAAATCTCTAAAATAAATAGCCCTGTGGGTTTTCCACATTGGATGCTGACCATATGTTTTGGTGGACTCACTTAGCTGAAGGCGCTTGGTCATGCATTCGTACCAGATCACGAGTGGGAACGCCGTGATCAACAATCCCTGCAATCGCTAGCCAGATTAGATCAGACGATCCTCAATATATTGATTGCCTACAAAATATATCTTCGAACCTCCTCGCTTCTGTCTTTTGATTTCACTTGGTGAGTACGATTCATATCAAAAGGTGTTGCCGGTTAAAGCGTTGTCAAACTCCGAATACCTGTGGCATCTTCACAAGTATTTTTATGCATTATTTCAATTTCCAAGATACAAAAATAGATCGTGCTCTGAAGATACCATTGAAGAAGAATTGAACAATATTCGGAACCTATTCAGTATAAATGGGTGCCCCAGTAAATTCATCGACAAACACGAACAAGGACAAAAATACCCACCGTCCTCAAAAAGGTATTATTCATAAAACTACAATTCATAAATGACACCATTGAAAAAGTCATGACTCAGAAACTACAAAGAGCTGTACAAAAAACTTTCAATGCTGCCAAATTAAATGTCATCTACAACCACCGGGAAATAAGAGCATCCATTAAAGACAGACTGCCAGAATTTGCCAAATCTGTGTGTATCTATCGTTTCAACTGCTCCTGTGGAGCCAGTTATATAGGGCGTACAATTCGGCAGGTCCGTCAACGCATTACAGAACATCGTCCGACATGGCTAAGCAAAGGACACGTGAAAGTGATTAAAAGTTCTGTTCTCTCTTACTTGGTTGACACAGGTCATCAAGTCGAACTGAATAAAGCTTTTAGGGTTATCTACAATATCCCATCAAATTTGCCACATGGTTTACGAGTGCGCCTTTTGCACATCACGGATGCCTTCGCGATCCATGTTCACAAACCTGACCTTTGCGTCCAAAAGAAATTCGTACAACCACTTTCTCTGCCCTGGCCTTCAGTACAAAATTCCCGTCATAAAAACCATTTTCCATACTTCTTCTGGTTTTTTCTTTCTTAAAATTTTTGTAATTTTGTTTCTATTGCTATGGAACCTTATAACTTCTCAACATTCATCTCTTGATTCTTACATAACCACTATTCTATTGACCATCCATTAATAAAAATTCTGTTCCTTCTCTCTTTTTCATATATGACCCAACGTAGCAACGTATTGATTTTCCAATAATTACTTTGAATAATCATAATCCCCTTTCTTCCAATTACTCAATGTTCATTTAAATATCATTATGTAATTATTATTACGTAACGTATCCACTCGATGAGTATTATATCATTATTGTAAATCATACTTATGTATATTAGTGTAGAGCTATGATGAAGAACTAATTGAACAAGAATTTCTTCACTCGATTCGTTCCATCTTTGTTTACCAAAAATAGATTTCATCGTTTCGATAACTGATATCTGTTGCTGACTGATACTTTTTGCAATAATATAAACCAGATACCAAATAATCTTAATCATAAAAAGTCATCACTTTTACCATTTAACCTGTGAAAATTCCGTAAAGCAAACGATGAAATTAAAGTGTAAAGACTCAATTGAAATTGAGCAGTAATATAACAGAAAAAATACAAGATCAATCAACAGTTCATTATGAGAAACAATAACTATTAGGAAAACAGAATATGATAATAATGAATCAACTATTTGCCATGATTTTATGTCCGGCTTTTTTATCATGTAATTTATCCATCAATCAAAATACGATTTATACAATCTTGGCACTGTGCCAAACCAATGACTTTCGACTGGTTTGAGCAGTCTAGCGTCCTTATTGGTCCTATGTTCTCTTAGCTCGTCCGCTTGATTCCGGAATTCAATATCAGCTTCTACAATATGAATCGAATCATTTATTTCAGACATACTGGATTTATGTTATCAAACAAACAGACCACAACGCATCATAAAATAGGAAATAATATTTGTACACAATAAAGCCAAAAAAGTGGCTGTGAACGTGGGAGACAGTAGTCAATAAACTGAACATAGCTTAAGAACAGTAAATCGTACAATAATATCTTATGGATCAAAATAAAGCTTATAATAAGAGGAATATAAATACAAATAATCTAATCATTGAATACTTATACCATAAGAATATTTATAGAATATTGGTCTATTAACAGTCTTCGGAAGTTACCCGTAATCTAATCTTCGCTCGGATATAACACTATTATCTACATAAACAATGACTAGGGAAATGAGAATATTTGACTAAACGTTTTTCAATTCTTCTTTATGTCTAATTATTACACATTAAAATAATTTTGATTCCATGTTTGAATGGCGTTTATAGTATAAAACAACTTTAGATGAGAATATAATAAATGTGAAACACAAAAAAAGAATATACTGAGAATGTAAAATATTAACAATCAGTGAATTTATATCAAACATAACACAATCCATGAATTGACATCTTTTTATTGATCTGAATTCTAATTTGTTTTAAATCATCAACGATTATAGATTCAAGTTCAATAGATTTTGAAATACATTTCAAACTGAGCAGTTCTTTGTTTAAATAAATATCTGTATCATTCTTATTTATGTTATTTCATTTATTTTTAGTTATAATCCCTTCTTGATTGTTATGGTTTAATCGTTGTATTAATGATGATTTTTCTTTAGTAATAAATGAAGATTGATGATTACATTTGATATTTGTTTCATTGAATGAATAATTTTTTGAATATTTAATGGAGTTTGAAATTTCACTGGGATTTTTTAAAGAATCCATGAATTGATTGTTTTCCGTTGAGCAGATTTGTTTAAATGTCTCGTCGTTACTATTGGATACGATTTTTGAATTCATGGTAATTTTGTTTTTAAACTTTTGTTGATTAAAATTAAATGAATTTTTAAAAAATTCAATTTGAAATTCATATTGAGTTGTATTGAAATAAATCGGTTTAATAATAATATAATTTCGAATGTATGTTAAAACCTAAAAAAAAAAGGGGGGGTATATATTTGAAGAAAAAAAAAGGAATGTTTTATCTATAAAATTATAACTTGTAAAGAAAATGATTTACATGTGAATGTCTCAAAGTATATCAAATAATCTTCTAATTTGATGAGAATAGTATGATTTGATGTTACTGGTTGATTTAAGTTAGATGATGATTGTAAAGTACGATGCACCGGATATCTGTTTCATTTTATCATGAGACAATTTTACAGTTCACAAACATATGAACTCATCAAGGATGAAACTTAGAATCATCAATCCTCGTAGTAAACGCTTATAAATGTTAGATCACTGAGTTGGTATCTGATGTTTTACATTTGCAACTTCAGTCAGTTAACGATAATATGAGTAAGTTTTAACTAAGATTTATAGATGAACTAATTAGATATAAGATAACATGTCTTCGATTTTAGCGCGAAATTCATTCATTCATTTGATTAAAGAACGTTTTACGATTTTAGCTCATGTCAGTTCGTGATTGAAGCTTTATATCTGATTCCTAACCCTTACCATCAGCTGTAAACCATAACTCTAATTTCTCATTTGGTCCTAGTTAGGAGGTGAACATTGTCAAGGTCAATTTATCATCACTTAAATGTCGTTCATAAATTATAGTCCCATTGTACATACATTCAAGTTATGAATATTAAACGTCAATTGTATAGTTCTTGACTGGTCGGTGGCCTATACTTCATTAAGAGTAACAGGCGTAAGTAAGTAAGTAAGTTTAATTCTTGATCATCAATGATGAATGGAGAAGTTGCACATTATACTAACATCCGTTCTCAATAACCATACGTCAAACAGTTCTGATTGTTTCAATGAAACACGACAGAAGGCACTAGTTTCTTTCTTGCTAGAACTTTTCCAAGAGTAATAAACCTAAGGTATCCAGAACTTCGTGTTAATCACCTTCAACTATTAAAAGTTAATCAATAAAGACTACAAGGATTAAAACTGTCTCATATAACGAAACAAAATTTTGAATGTCAAGTTAGTAGAAAACACTGCGAAAGCTCTATTTAAAATCGATATTATCAAGCAGGTCTCCAACTAGGTAATCCTTAACCGTTCAAAAACTCACTTTATATAGAAAGAAACTGTAATTGAAATATTACCTACTAAATAATTGTAATTTGGGAGAAATATGAGCAAACTGTTTTGACTTTATGTCCGGATTTTTCTCACATGATTTATCCACCCATCAAAATATGACTTATACAAATCTTAACACTGTGCCGAACCAATGACGTTCGACTAGTATGGGCAGCCTAGCGTCCTTATAGGTCCTATATCCGCCTAGCCCGTCCACTTGAGTTCAGAACATCAATACCATAAGAATGTATAGATAATATTAGTTAATTAATACTCGTGATTTAATCTTCTCTCGGATATAACACAAACACTGGTTGATCATTAATTAATGAAGTGAGATAAGTAAATTACACTTTAAAAATTTTCTTCCTTGAAATAGTCTTTTCATATAACATGCATTTATTGATGTGTGTGTCATAACGTCAGTCCTTGTTGTGAAATTTCAAATTCATCAGTCTCTAAAACACCCTACGATAACAACTATCTTGTGTTTGTTAATGATTGACTCAATAAATTCCAAGTGTTATAGTAAAACGCAGTGTACAGTGGGGTTCACTCATGTTGAATTTGAGATAAATATTACTAGTGTTAATAGGTAATCATCGTGCAATATTGTAAAACAACTTAATTTGGAATTGTAAGCCATCAGATGACAACTTGGTGGTTAATAAGTTAAGTGTCCACTATGATTGCTGAAAGTCGTCGGCAGGGTCGTGGTTGTCCACTGGTAAGAGGCCCCATACTAGTATGGAGTGGCTACTCAGTATCTCTTGGTTTTCAACATTTGTTCTAACTGACATTAGTCTTTGATGTGGAATTTCATATTCAACAATTTCCATAGAATCTTTTATTAACATTTTATAATCATAGAATTCATAAAAGTTATTTCCATATTATTTCACTTACTTTTATCACTTCATGTGGATATGTTGATCCTGAAATTAATTTATTCGAATTACATTGTATACATTTCTGTTGATCTAAAGAGAATAGAAATTCATAAATATTAATTATATAACCGGATTGATCAATTATTCTGTTTAATGGACGATGACCAATAAATATATTAATATATCCTTTTTTCGATGTCCATATATGATTGCAATACTAAAATAGAATTTAAGTAGTATAAATTATTTAATTAAAACAAAACAAAAAGTAGATAAACTGAAAGATAAACTGTAAAACTTTATAAAGAGTTGAAACAAGAGATTTTCAAGATATAAGTGGTTGAAGGCAATAACGATACAGTCTGTATAGAAATCACATATGTCAATAAGAGACTGACCAATTACAATCGTAGACAACAACAGGAAGATACAAGTAAACAATACCAAGTGAATTTGATGGGCGATTTAAATATGTAATAAGGTAAGAATAAAGAAGAAATAGGATAGATGAAATAACGAAAAGATAAAAACTTGTAATACAAATTATGATAAATAGTTTGTGTTAATAAGGAAACTTCCTACAATTGAAGAACATATGGAACTCAAAACAACTATAAACCAATATCAAAGTGAGAATCTTCAATACCAACGTCAAGGCAGTTCTACTGTATGGAGCTGAAACTTGGAGAACTACAACAACCATCATCAAGAAAGTACAAGTATTTATAAATAGCTGTCTACGCAAGATACTCAACATCCGTTGGCCGGATACCATCAGCAATAGCCTTCTCTGGGAGAGAACAAATCAGCTTCCAGCTGAAGAGGAAATTAGGAAAAGACGATGGAAATGGATAGGACATACATTACGCAAATCATCAAACTACATCACGAGGTAAACCATAACTTGGAATCCTGAAGAGAAGCAGAAAACTGGAAGGCCAACCAACACATTACCATGGCAAATAGAATCAGATATGAAGAGGATGAATAACAACTGGAAAGAGCTGGGAAGGAATGCCCAGAACAGGGTTGGTTGAAGAATGATGGTGAGTGGCTTATGCTCCTTCATGAGGAGTAACAGGGGTAAGTAAGTAGGAAAGTAAGTAAGTAAGTAAATAATAAGGAAACTGTTAACCTATATCTCCCTAACATTTTAATAGACTAAAATGTCAGTTGTTATTCACTTGAATTAAGTGTTTAATGTTTGAAGTATACTTCATTTTTTAAACTTTGTATTTGGATAATCTATGATCCTTTTAGTTTCATAAGCTATTCTATTCAGCGAACAGCGATCATTTGAATGGGTATTTATCAGACAACTGTACGATATAATGAAGAAACTGGTAGGGAAAGATATTAAACCAGAGGGACCGATCAAGGAAAAGAAAGAAGTCAATCATTGAGATTCAAGGACAAATGCATTGAATGCTTCGATGAACTCTTGAATAGACCAAATATATTGAATCCACCGCACACTGAAGCAGCACTTATAGACCATCCTGGGGATGTCACTCTAATAAGAACCAAAGAAATCAGGATGGACATTAAAAAATCAAGAGTGGGAAGGCAGCAGGACTTGATAACATACCAGGTGAAGTAATGAAGTCACACGTAATTGCGAAGATACGCCACGTTTTATTCGGAAAGATTTGGAAGGAGGGTTAAGTGCCACAAACAAACTGAAAAGAAGGACACCTCATCAAGATAGCAAAGAAAGGAGATCTGTAAAAATGTGAAAATAATAGAGAAATCACACTACTATAAGTAACAGGAAAAGTTTTCAACAGTGATGATGAACTAGATGAAAGACTCAGTAGATGCTCAACTTCGAAATCAACAGGTTGGATTTTATAAGGTTCAGTTGTGCATAGATCAAATTGCGACACTACGGATCATCGTTGAACAATCGAAATCCTCATTAAACATTAACTTCCTTGATTATGAGAAAACATTTGACAGTGTGGATAGGAGAACATTGTGGGAACTTATTCGACACTATGAAGTGAGAAGCCGAGAAAATCGTCAACATCGTACCGAATTCATATGACGGACTAAACTGCAAGGTCATGCATGGACAGATGTATTCCAAATGAGGACCGGAGACAGAGAAGACTGCTTTCTCTCCCCTTTTTCTTTCTTCGGATGGTCGACTGGTTTATGAAGATCTCAGTTAATAATAATTACAATGTTGAGATGTTCTTAAGAAATCCATCAGTGTATAGACCATAATAATTGTTTAACATTGTTTAGTAATGTATGGATTTTATGTCAATTTAAATTTACATAAACAGATCTTCCGTATAATGAGGAGGAGTAGAAAGTGAAATGCATATTGCATTTTACTTAGAACGTATTAGTTCAATACACATATATCCCACTGTTGATATGTTACGATAAGATATGGTGGCTTAACTTCGTCAATCAACCACCTTTGATAACCGTTATTATATAAATTTGAAATCAAAATGCATTAACAAGCGGCGAATACAGTTTATTAACGGATAGCATGTATCACAAAGCTACAAATACATCAAGCGAATTTGAAGCAGGTAGACGAATGTGTGTTTATGTGTAAGTGAATAAATACAGAGGCAACTGAATAGTAAGATCGAATAAGATGCAGCTAGGCAGCTAGGTGAAATTTAATAATAGGATTCGAGTACATATAATATACATGGGAAAGAGAATGATTCATCAAGTGATAATTAAGCGATTAACATATAAGCTAAAGAGAGATATGTGTGTAGGCTATCACATCTGCTCAAGCATACACGTTTATACAATTATGATAGTATGATCATAATACCACATAGTAATAGACGACTTGCTAATGTTCAAATACAATTGTCTGTTAAGTAAGTTAATAAAAGAGCATAACTATAATCAACATTGATTATAAGAGAGTTATCACTATGATAACATTAAGCTATCATCTATTCAGTCAAAATTTACTCATTAGCTGAATTCCATTTCATTGAGTAACAAACTACTGATTACTGTAAATAGCGTTATTGATTTTGTATAATTTTAAATCTTGTAACTATAATTAAATTCCCACTATGTTCTTCTTCCTCTCCTTCATCTCCTTCTTCTTCCTCTCCTTCTTCTTCCTCCTCCTCCTCTTCTTCTTCTTTCCTTCCTTCTCTACTTCTTTTTTCTTCCTCTTCTTCCGCTATTTCTTCTTTCCTTCTTCATCTTGCTCTTCTTCGTTTCCTCTTACTCTTCTCTTCTTCTTCTTCTTCTTTCTCTTCCTCTTCTTCTTTTTATTCTTCCTATTTTCTTCCTCCTCTTCTTCTTCTTCCTCGTCTTCCGCTATTTCCTCTCTTCTTCTCCTTCTTTTCTTCCGCTTCTTCCGCTATTTCTTCTTTTCTTCTTCTTCTTGCTCTTCTTTGTTTCCTCTTACTCTTCTTTTCTTCTTCTTCTTATTCTTCCTCCTCCTCCTCCTCTTCTTCTTCTTTTCTTCCTCTTCTTGTTCTTGTTCCTCTTCTTCTGAGACTCATTCTTGTTAAAAGTACATCAATTATTACTTCCTTATCACAAAAAATGAAGATCAATTTTGTTTCTAAATAGACTAATAACTTAATAATTATGATTCATTGAATGTAAAAGTATACAATATGAATCTTATTTAACAGTACATTGAATAATAATAATAATAATAATAATAATAATAATAATAATAATAATAATGTACTATTTTAATGAAAAGAATTAGAATCACTAAGGTATCAGTATAGATTACTGAAACAATCTTATCTAATAATGTACTTTATAAATGATAAATGATGTTTTTATAATGAAAATTTGGCATTATTCATTGATATATTAATATTGTTGTAATATGTGCTATTGATATCGATAGATATCAGTAGTATGTATCATTAATTAAAAGTGATATGTATGGCGGCAGAAGATTAAGAAGATCGAAAGAGAGGGAAATAGAACGAAGATAGAGAGATTGGTTAATATGGAAATGAAGGAACAGTTAAGCTTGACACAATTGATTGACATTTTGCAAATGAAGTATTCACTGTATGGTTATCAGATTTTACCAAGAGATTCTGTAATTTACAACTGATTAATCACTGGGTAATGATCAGTGTAATGTAGGTTAAATCCTATCGACCAAATTTCAATGTGGCCATTAGTCTAAGTGAGTCAACATTTCGTATACTATGTTGAGATAAGATGGTGGTTGGATGTAGTCAACAGGTAATCATGGACCTATGTTTCATGCTACTTGGCACTCGTCAGTAAGTTGTATCTGTAATCATAAGGGAACTGATGCTCCCAGACGAATTCAAACCCATGTCACACAGCTTCACAGTCGTTAACACGGATCTATCCACGACGCGACTGACCTCCTAGAATTTTATATTTACATACATCCAGTTGATCTCATTTATGTGTTCTCGTTCACTACAGTAAGACGATTTTCAATTTCGATAATATTTAAAACAATTAGTTACTATGATACAGTATTCAGCGTAAATGTAATATTTTGTCAATGTTTAATTTACAGTATTTTGTCAATAAATACAACATAGTTCTTATAAAATGTTTCCCTAATCTATTATGTAATGAGCTGTATAAGAATCAGCTAATTAGATTAAGGTGATGTCAATGCAACATTATCTAGATCTATTCAATGTATATTTTCAATAGTCCGAGATTTTGAATAGAAACCGAAGATTGAGATTTCATTAGTTAGTCCTTATTATCGAGGTATAATTACAACGTTGTGTGAAATCCAAAACTTGTCTCAATCACCTTCATAGCATAATTTGTTAACATTGAGATATTCTGACCTCAATGAACCTGTTAAAATACTGAGATATAAATTTACAATTAATTGGGCGACACTATAATTTATGGACGAATCAATCATGTATAAGATAACAGATCTCGGATTTTGGAGCAAGATTCACTCATCCATTTGACTAAATAGTGTTGTGGTATTATGGCTAATGTCAGTTTGTGATGAAAACCCTAAATCTAATTCTTAACCTTAACCATCAATTGTAAATCATAATTCTAATTCCTCACACTGTTTAATAACCTACATTAAGTTCTAGTTACTAGATGAACACCCTCAAGGTCACCTTAGCGTCACTCAAAGGTTGTCCATAAATTATAGTCTCATCATTTATTGATCATTACGTAATATCATCATCCTCTTACATAAGCATAATATAAGTAGTATGAGTATAAAATAACTTACAGAACAATAAAATCGAAATTTTGCTGGAATTTTCTTTGACCATATAAGATTAGTTTTTATAATTTGTGAATTATCATTCAATGGACTAAATATCCACATTATTCCATATAAAGAATCTGGTTGTACATATAATTCATAAAAATATCCCAACCATACTATATGAAGTCTACCATAAATAATAATAATAATAATAAAGGATTAGTTGGCTGAGATATTTTACAATATGGCTAGACAATTTTATCTGATAAATCATTACAAGAGAGACAGAGTTAAGTGTTTTACAGTTACTTCATTGTAGTTTTGTACCTACATGAAAGTGATTAGGGGATATTTAGTTAGACGGGTAACCAGGTCGCAGGTTTTTCATCCTGACATTGGGTCTCTCGGCAGTGTTCATCTTCAATATCATCGGGAATCGAACTCAGAGTCTTCAGGTTCCGTAGAAAATGTTTAATCTTTAGTAATATTGAGCATCTATCTAATGATACAACTTCAACTTGGATGAATTCGACAAACAGAATGCGGGATCGTGGATGCGCACTGCTGAGGAGACCCACACTAGGATGAAACGGCCGTCCAGTGCTTTCAGGTTTCCAACGGTGGTCTAGCTTCAACTGACTCATGATTTCAATCTGTGAAGATATTTTAATCCCGGTACATTTTTCGTTTAAGACTTTTCAATTGAAATTTCAGAACATCATGGGTTACATCATGAAACAGTAGTCTAGAGTATCATAGTTTTTAATGTTACCCTAAATATAACCTACTTAATAGTCGCACCCCCACACCCACACAAAACCACTTCAAATAAAAAAATTCTCACTCTACAACAAATATTATAACAAATTCACTTGGTGTTATTTTACTTATATCTTCCCACAAGCAGGTGGCTATCAGGACTCAGTAGCTAAATGAATAACGCTATGGCATTTGAAGCGAGCGGTGGTCGGTTCGAGTCCCAAAGTGAACATCAATTCTGTGTTGCAGGTACATCCAGCTGACGAGTCGCAAACAGGACTAAACCCGCATCCTGGAATCCACTGCTAGCCAATATCCAACTTTGTTTAAAAATATCATGTCAGTTGTGTATGAACTTTTCATTGACGTTCATTTGTATTACCTGGTTACTTGATCTATTGATGTATGTAATCAAATCATTCAGAAAAAAGCTAGAAGAATAAATACATCATACATTTATTCATCTGTCTCTACTTAGATTTATCAAAGAGGAAATCAATCTAATACATGAATTACATTATTCATTGATTTGAATAATTCATTACATAATGATTCAACTATGAATATAGAACAACATAGATATAAGCGAACAATATTGTTTTCGATTAGATCTTCATCAAGCTTTATTCTAATATACAGTAATATAGAAAACATTGTTCATCAAGCCAATATACACATTTCTTAAGCTTCGTACCTCTTCATTATAGGAGAAACATAGTCAAATGTCTGGTAAATAGAGCTATTAAGATATGTTCAATCGATACCATTGATAAGGAATTAGAATTCATACACGATATGTTGATTGAATTTGGTTATCCAAAGGATTTCTTGGAGAAACAGTTGCGTATAACAAACAAGAAAATAGTGACATTAACTGCTAGCAAGAAACCTCTCTTCTTGAAGATACAATTCGATGAAGATGTAGCTGGTGATGTACTATGTGATAGATTGACTAGACCAATGAAGAGAACGTTTAATGCAGCCAACCACTGTGTATTGTACTTGACCCGATCTTTGGTGATTTCCCAACTAAAGTATGAGTTACCCAGTTATACCACTTCTATGTACATTTACAAATTCAGCTGCTCCTGTGGAGAAAACGATATTGGGCGCACTACCAAACAACTGAACCAAAAAGTTAGTGAACACCTTCCTTCGTGGTTAGGAAAAGGTACTGTCAAAACAATACGAAGCTCGGTTCTATCACATTGATCGATAGCGGTAACGTAGTAAACAGAAAGAAGTCACTTAATGTTATTTAACGTATTCCTATTAGTTTTCTTTATCACAACTAGTACACCTGCCATCAAATTATTCTTCATTGGTTTAATAATTTCGTATATGCATATAAATATTACTATATATTATTCAAGTGATTGCTTAATAAGTAAATCTGTTTGGAATCCAAAATTTCTTGAAAACCTGGCTACTCGAAGGAGGGAATCAAATAAAAACCATGATGATTACCCATTCATTTCAAATATCGTAAGGCTATAACAGAATAGAATTCACTTAATAGATACTCATAGAGTTTATCTGACGAAATAAACTGAATCTCAAGAGATTTAATAAACAAGCGAATAAACAAATTAAAGTGTTCATCAGAAAACTTTCCTTAAAACCAACGGAAACAAAATCATAAAGAAAAACATGTCGCAGAAAGTCCTTTTTTAATTTTTATTTCACGCCATAGCCCAAAGCACTGAAGAAACATTATTATTCATGATGAACTAGTTTTCGAGACTACAAAGCGCTATTTACTAGTTGAATTCCTGAATTGACTTGTTATAACCAACTATGTTTGTAATTTTATAGTTGAATTAATGAGTCAATTGAAGCTAAACCACCACAGAAAACTTAGAAGCACTGGACGGCCCTTTCGTCCTAGTACGGGACTCTGCAGCAGTACTCACCCATTACCACTCCCCGCCTGATTCGAAACCAGGACCTATCAGGCTCGCGCTAAACATCTAGACCAGTAATTCGGGACCCAACGGTGTTAATATCTAGCTTCAAACAATCCACGAAACTGCAACACTGACCGGTAGATCTTAAGTTCTAGTCCCATGTGAGGGATCGTGGATATGCACTACTGAGTAGTTCAATACTTGAACAAAACGTCAGTCCAGTGCTTCCATTTTTTCCATGGTGATCTAGCATCAATTGATTCATTAATTCAACTACAAAATTACTAAAATCTCCACAAAACCCCCTTCTGATAATAATCATCATGTGCTTACTAGTGACTGACTTCAAGGGTTATTTCCTGGAGTTCTAGTGAGAAGCAGTGATCAGTGGAGTTCAAGAAGGTCTGTTGTGAGATAGTAACTCCCTGAAGACAATAGTGGATAGTCGCTCAATTTCGTGGATTGGTTGTAGTTAGACATTAACGCTGTTTCATACCGTCCACCTCAGTGGTTTAGAGGTTAAGCACCTGCGCGTGAGATAGATAGGTCCCGGGCTCAGATCACCCGAAGCGGGATCATGGATGTACACTGCTAATGAATAGTCACATACTAGGACGAAACGGCCATCCAGTAGTTCCAAATTTTCCATGGTGGTCTAGCTACATTCGATTCATGACCTCAACTATTGAAATGGCTATAATATCTACACACAAAAAAACACCTCCTGACATTTGATTACTCTTATCAATAATCTTTAAATCAATATAAAATCGATATTTCATTTACCTTTCATGTAATTCACTATCAATAGAATAAATATGTTGTTTATAATCAGTAATATCATGAATGATACATTCAATTTTAAATTTATATTTTATAAAATATTCCATTAAAATATTTATTATATGAAATGAACATAAGCATATTTGATATGATGAATAATTCATTTTACTTTTTAAAGGTTGAATTTCATTCAAATTTATTCTTAATATATTATTGTATTAACCAATCAAATCGCAACAAATTTAACCAATCATAAATCGGTATATTTTTTCTTGAAATCTGATTGGTTGAGAAGATTATATCGACATTAGCCATTTATAAATTGGCATCCGCGACGAAAATAATTGAAATATGATTAATATATATATATAGTCTATGTAAATGATGAATGAATGAGATTATGTACTACACAGTATGATAATGAATTAGTCAATTGGATTTTGTAAATGTCTACTTGGCTCAGTCTCATTAATCCTAATTAACAGACATACAACTTTTAAAGAATATATTTTTTGTTTGCTTGTCTGGTGTGAGACCGCCTACGCGAATGATGATGAATTTACTGAGGTAATTAATGCTTGCAACAATAATTGATTATATATGTAGAATTGAAACATCAAACTAGCAATCAGAGCACTGGAAAGATTATCCAGATACTTTGAATCACTTGTATAGGTTAAAATTTAAAAAAAACTAGGGTAATTACAAAGACACAAAATGCAAGGAAATAATAAGCTATATAAAATAAACCAAAGTATTTAAGGGAATGTAATGTGTCATCGGAAGAAATTCAGCGAAGCCTCCAATTCGACCGGGATTCGGACTTGGAACTACTCGAACTCATCAAAAAATAAACTGTCGAGCCTTTGATTTCCTCAAACATTTGTTTAATACTAACTCCTAAAAAAGACCAATTACAATATGCGGTGAATGTAAATAAACAGTTTGCATGGTGATAGTTTTCTTGATACCTATCATAGAGCATTAGGAAGTCATCCTGTCCTAGTTTGTTTTAGCAGTGGTGTACACATACAACTCTATACAGTATACAGCTCACGATCCTTAAATCTCATATCAAACAAAAGTCTTCAAATCATTGAGTCAGAATACTGTATTACTTATTTCATTAGCAATAATTCCATGGTATAGCGTGACTCTCACCAAATGTTTTGATACCTATTTGGTTTACACGACAGATCTGGTATTTCTACTGAAGCTTTGAGATAATCAACATAAGGATGGTTACTAGTGAGAAGGAATTTTCGCAGTTACGTGGATAGATTGTGAGGATTCCCGCCAATCAGGGAACCATAAAACTACATGAAGAAGTGCAAATATATTCACAGTAATTTGAGACTTCTTAATAATATGGACCAACGATACTAATTGGATACAATTCAACAATGATGAATTTGGTTAGAAGTGAATATGTATCACCATAAAGAATAAATAAATGGAGTTTAAAAATCATTGCAAAATTTGCTGAATCTTTCTACTTGGCCAGTGATAATGGAATCGAGGTTTTCGGACATGATTAATTCCTTAATGGTGAAAGGAAAAGAGAAAGACCGAAGAACACATTGCGCCAGTAATTCGAAGTTGATATCAAAAGAATGAAAAGCGCTTAGGAACAACTGAAGAGGAGGGCCCAGAACTGAGTGTGTTGGAGACCTTGTCACACATGGTGTAACAAGAGCAAGTCGGCTATGTAAAAGAACCATTACTTACCAAACCAGGAATTTATATACTGAGGTATGAGGCACTGTATATGTAAAGATAAGTGTTACTACCTCGCAACACATGCTCGAATTGGTGAACTAAGTTTGGAAACAGTGATCTATTGATAGAAAACTGGATGTATTAAGTTACCACTGTAGAACTGGAACGGACAACTACAGGATAAACATATTAAACCACTATAATTCAAAATAAGTTCGCTTTTTGTCGTAGATTTGAGAAAATGGAGTCAATCCAACTGCTACGTTTGAATCAAATTTTACGAACTTGATTTTCGGGTAACCCAAGGACATATAAAATACTATAAAAACCCTATATTTTCTGTGCTAAAACGAACCTTGGGAGTAAAGAGCTTCTCGCATATTTTTGCGCCTTTTCTCTCGTGTTCAGGTCTCTGTGTAGTTCTAGCTTGGGGGTTAAGAGAATAGCTTAGGAACCTAAAATTAGCAAGACTTATCACTTACCTATTATAATGAACCAATCGAGCTATACTGGCTGGAACAATCGTTGCTCATGGTACTACCATGACATACAGGTCGGTTGCAGAGCGGAAAGGTTAGAAGTAGCAAACCCAAGGTTCAGGGGCGAAGATGTACTGCTGACTGTACAGAGGTGTGACAGCAGGAAGCTGTTTCCTTCAGACAACTAGCATAACAGCGATACTGCCTTCTCACAAAAGAAGAGTGGGGTTAGAAAAAGTTGTCCCTAAAAATGCACACCTCACCTTATCCCACAGACATCCGCCAATGGCGGTAAGGTCTCAACAAGCTAACACAAAAATTACTCATAAAAAGGTCGTGTGTGACCGACCTCAAACAGCTGTTCCTTGAGCACTGCAGTCACACTCTCAGGTCACTAAAACCACCTCTAACCCAATTTCTTCTTCAGGTACCTCTAAAAGAACCCTTCCACGATGTGGTCAACTGCCTTCATACCTCTAGCAGCAAGATCTCGCAAACTAAATTACCCGACCCAAAATGAGATTATGAATTTTTCTAGTCTTGTCAACTGGATACTTTTTTCAATCTACTATTGTTATACAACATAATATCTAGATTAGAGTAGCAATTATCTAGGTGTAAGTGTGATAAATATGGCAGATATTCAATTTAATAAAACGTTCCAAGTTTATCAATAGAAAAAATTAGGTACATATAATAATAATGATTAAAACGTGAGGGACAATCAAAACCTCATAATCTTGAAATTATATTTGAAGTCTTCTAAAATACAATCTTCAAAAATAAGATAAAAATGATGATATTTTATATATAGTGAAATGGTAAATCACACATCTATCTCATCATGGTACCTATAGATGAATGAAATATACACTGGTAAAGTTGTTGTTATCAAACAAAAATACATGAATCCATAATAACTCATATATATGAAGCTAAATAAAACAAGATTAAGTATAACATTTGCTTTTTATAATGATCATCAAAATGATGATCACAACTGATCAATCAATAACATAGTGAATTATATACAGTAATATTGATAATACAAATATAAGCGATCACTATTAGTCAGATTGATCATATGTAAGTTATATGGGGAATATTTTTTAGTACAATGACAGATTGGTAAGAAAGTGATATATTCACTTCTTAAAGCTTGATATATAAAGATATTTATACACCGGTACAATTAGACGGTTTAGTGAAACAATAATAAATAAACATTTTATCTCATTAAGCGAATAAGCAACAGCACCATCATCATCATGATTATTATTATGGATTATACCGGAGTAAGAAAACTAGATAGATAACTTATTTACAGCGTAATAATTGTGATGATGATGTAAAGGAACAAGAAAATTTGACCTACAATTTCACATTTGAATTATGATGATGTTGAAGAGAAAGTGAAACGAATTAACAATCACAACAAAAGAAACAAAAACACAAGTAAACGAAAATTTACAAAATATAAAAGAACAAAGATAAGAAAAAAATAAAGAAAAATGAAAGCAATACAGATAACTAATCATTTAATGGAACCGATTGATAATTTGTCGCAGCTGCTAAAACAGCAGCATTTAAATCGGCATTACTCGAGCTAAATGAACCACGTCTTGATGTATTCGTTGAATTGGTAGCGGTTGGACATTTACGTAAGTGACATATATTATTACGAGAGTATTGACTTAAAGCACCTTGCCAAAATCTTGCCACAGCTGCATTTTCCGCTGATTGACAATTGATTGAAGCGAGTACATTAGTCCAACGACGAGTTGCTTCCTCACCGCTCAAAGATGATCCCTGTAGTTAAGATTGAAAAGAGGAAGAGATGGTTGTTTAATGGAAAAGTAAGGTAACAACAACATGAGCACCGAAACGTTAATACATTAAACCACGAACTGACCTGAATTAGACAATCAGGGAAAACCAGTAAACTAAAGACAAATGTCTTTTCCCACTATAGAACTCCTCAGAAATGTACATTCGCAAATTCACCGAAGATCTAACCTAGGACCTTTGGGTTTTACAGTAAGCATTTAACATTTGAATTACTGAGTCTACATCCAGTGAATCACATTTTCAAATTTATTCGATTCGCTATACTATGCAACCATCTTACTCACACTCGATATAGTTGAAATTCACCGGTTCAAGTTTCTCATAAGAACCCCGGGAATTACTTTTCGGAATTAGCCATTATTGAGTGCATGACTTGTTAATATAAAACAACTTGTGGAAATTATTGATGTGATTTATGAAATTTGACAAGCTCCATAAAAATCTTAAACTATTAACATGCTGGTTACAATACCATGATTGAATAGGTACCTACAATATGGTTCTGTATTCATTATTCATCCAAACAATACAATATTTTTTAATCTGAAAAGACGAAATTGAACAATGAGATTCACTTTACTGATAGCGAGGGGAGGCACCATTATTATTTGAACATATATATATTGGTATAAGAAGGCACCAAATACATATCTGCAATACAAATCTCATTTGATTTGTGTGAGAGCTGTGAAACTGTCCGGATGCGCAAACCGAAATAGGTGGTTTACTTAGAAGGCCACACCCGGAGCCTTCGACCTAAAGGTCTGGTCCACAAGGCAGTGGAGCATCGTACGATGCAGTAACATGGCAGCCGATCATCAACAATTGGTTCATACGCCGTTTGCTCTCTCAGGATACTGAAGCCCATGCGTACCATTGGTTTGGAATCAGGATTTTCCAACTCCCCTAGGTGGACTCTCCATGTCTACCAACCCGATTAAAGCGCCGGATATTAACTTTCCGTCCTCTCAACTTCGTAAACAACAGTAATGCCAAGAGAAGGCAGTGAGTAGGACTTCCCTGTCAGAGGTTATATACGCGCGGCCATATGAAAACATTCCGAGAGGGTGAGCGGACTCTCTCGACCCTCGGCCGTACCAGAGCATTTGGGGGCAAAGAAGCGATGACAAGTGTAGAACAGTAAATAATCTGAGATAATAACAGTTTTAGAAACGACAACTAAACCTACACAAAAATGTTTGGTTATATATTCATGACTTAAATAGTTAAACAGTTAAATGATTAAGGACTTTACATAGTTAATTGATCATACATAAACATGAATCCAGCAATGAACAAGCACATTAAAACATCAAGTAACAAGCCTAGATTTGATATAAACACAGAATTATTATCATTGATCATCCTATAACAGGATATTCATGATAATGAATATGTTAATTTACTGCGCATATTATCGCATATATGTCCAGTGTTTTCTTTACTCAGGAATCATCGATTCATTATCGGAATGACTACTGTTAAGGTAGATTTAAGAAAATTGTCTGTGTATTTGATTCTAGCAACAGAGAAAAAAGTAAAACGATGATGCAACTATCAACACTAACCACTAACAATCATTAAGGCAATTTCGAATAATAAGGAAAAAAAACAAATGCATTCGTATAAATAAAGAAGATTCACTTCAAACGGAAGAAAAATTGAGACCTTCCGCCGGATACCATCAGCAACAGCCTTCTGTGGGAGACAACAAACCAGCTTCCAGCTAAAGAAGAAATTAGAAAAAGACGATGGAAATAGATAGGACATACATTACACAAATCATCAGACTGCATCTCGAGGCAAGCCCTAACTTGGAATCCTGAAGGGAAGTAGAAAAGAGGAAGGTCAAAGAACACATTACGTCGGTAGATAGAATCAAATATGAAAAGGATGAATAACAACTTGAAAGAACTGAAAAGGATTGCTCAGGATAGGGTTGGATGGAGAATGCTAATAGTGAGCGGTCTATGCTCCTTTACGAGAAGTAACAGGCGTAAGTAAGTAAGTCCGTCCCACAACCACAACCACCATCACCAACAATAAACATGATAAAATAGAGTTTCAATAATTTTAGTACATATATTGAAATTGAACAAATTTAATCAATTAAGGTAAAAACCTAGATTTCATTCATTCATCAAAATGGTATCAACTTACTTGACAACGTTTAAATGAATATAATAAACGTGCACGATGTATCCATTCATGTTGTATTGTAGATAAAGCAATTGTATAAACATCCATTGATAATGGTGGATTCATATGAAATAATTTAATAATTTGTTGTACATAATTAGATATTGTAATACGTCCACTATTATTAGTTAAAAATTGACGAGAAATTGTAGTAATAGATGGATGATTATTATTATTATTATTAGTAGTAGTAGTAGAATAATAACGACAAGGTAATGATTTTTTATATAAAATTAATTCTGAATCAAATGATGGAATTGTTGAACATAATTTAAAATTTAACTTGATTTTAAATGAAAATAAAAACAAAACAATAAAACAACAAATAATAAATTAAATGAATTAAAAAAGAATATAGAATTGAAATAATAATAAAAAATAATACAGATACAGTACCATTCTGTGATGATAGTTAATCAATTAATTAATTATTCTAGATTGTTTTAATTGGAGTACATTACGGTGAGACTTGATTGTTTTGAGCTCCACTCATAATTGTGGAGTCGTAGACGTGCACTACAAAAAAGGAGTCTATACTAGAACAAATAGATAAGTGACACAATGTATAATAGATGGCTGTGATAAAATAATTGTGAATATTGTTTTCATGAATAGAAGGGAGTAGTAGGAACGTTTACTTCCATGAAGTAAGTGATTATTTTAAAGAGCCATTTAACGAACCTTTAACCGAAGGGTCTAATCCATAAGGCGTTAGAGCAAAGTCAGGATATAATCCCATGGTAACCGGTAACCTTTAGGACTTAGGAACACGTCCACCATTAGTTTGATGTCAAGGCTTTCCAACTCCCCTGGGTAGATCGTTTGCAAAATACGACCCGGTTTAGGCACCAGAACTCCACCTTCCATCCTCTTACTCTCACCAACAATACTCCTGGCAGCAGCCATATGAGATTCTACGGGGGGAGAGGTCTCCTTACCCTCAACCGTACGAGAGCATTTATAACACAACTATACAATGTTTCCCAGTTTTTCCAAGTCGTCTAACTAAGATCGTTTCATGAATTCTGAATTCTAGAATGTTGATTGATTTTCTGACTCATTCAATATTGAGATATCAGCAGTTAGTGTTCATTGTTGACCAGTCCACAAATCTACTACGGAACAATTATACTATTATTACCTAGTCTTAATTGAAACTTACTAACTAATATGTTGTTCTGTGACGAAAATAAGTGTGAGGGGGGGGGTAAGTATAAATAAAAAAATTAAAGTTGTACATATATTACACTTGTTGTAAACATAAAAAGTTATATAATAATTCAAACAATGGACAAGGTTTAAATTGCACTAATTTACTTAAATCGATGTAAATAGTTACATAATAATAATATTAACGCTTTATACAAAATATATTAACTTATAAAATAAACTTATAATTGGTTACTAGATAACATTTTCCTTTAAATGAGATTAATATTGTTGAGTCGGCTTTCCGAGAACTGCAACGGATCCTCCAGAGGCCCTAAAGGAGCCGAAGAGTCCCAGCCAGTCAGAGCATGATGGAGCTTTTTAGAATGTCAACGTGGTGTGCTACTATTAGTCAGTAGCATAATATTTCTTTTAGCGGATTGGTCAAAATATGATGTTGATTTAATAAATGTTAACATCTATAAACACCCATGTTTTTCTGTACAAAAATGAACCTTGGAGTAAAGTACTTCTCGCATACTTTGCGTTTTCTCTCTCGTGTTCAGGTCGCTGTATAGTTCTAGCTTGGGGGTTACAGAATAGCTTAGGAAACGAATATAGCGTTCAATCCGCAAGATTTATCAAATATTTACTACATAATATATTCATATCTATTAAACGTTATAAAACGTTTATTTACCTAAATATTTATGGAATTACTAATTAGGTAAGCAAAATAATAGTTTCCAATAATAATAAGAATAATAATAATCATTTTCTCACATTCAATTATCCTATAAAAAAGAATTAATGCATCGTTTCAGTGTAACCGTTGGCGTTTTTTAGCAAGTTAGTTTTCTACGGGATGGGATCACTAACCCCATGTCCAACCCAAACTCATCCAAGCTTGGGATTGACAGTAGCCCCAGAAAGAATCTTGGCAGAGGATGTGAAGGCGCGGATCGGCAAAGAAAGAGTAATATATCTACAATTAAAGAACATCTGGAACTCAAAACAACTGTCAACCAACATGAAAGTCAGTCAGTCAGCTACAACGTAGAACCATGCACTTATGTGCATCGGTCCAGGTTGCCATACCGCATCAGCACAACAAGATGAACACCGGATTCATAACAGTGGTTAGGTAAAAGGTGGTAATATATAAGAGAAAGATTGCATATAGAGATATAGTACAAGAAGAAAGAATTGGTTAGTAGAAAGAAAGATATGAAGCGCTTTTAATCTCTTAGTTTAAGGGAAGAAACCGAGTGTATACACCGACGCCATTGTGATCGATTCTGAGCCATGTCACCTAGAGTCTCCAACCATTGGTTACGATAGTCACGCGGACCCCAACCAAGTAGTCTGCATCTACCAACATGGCTCAGACTAGAAGTTAGTGACTTCAAGCACTGATGCCACGTTTTGGTTTGGCCGCCCCTAACTTTCTTCCAACCATCCCCAACACCAACATGAAAGTCAGAATTTTCAATACAAATGTCAAGACAGTTCTACTGTATGGGGCGGAAACTTGGAGAACTACGAAAGCCATCATTAAAAAGATACAAGTGTTTATTAACAGTTGTCTACGCAAAATACTTTCGATCAGTTGGTCAGGCACTATCAGAAACAACCCATTGTGGGGGAGAACAAGCCAAATCCCATCGGAAGTGGAAATCTGTAAAAAGAACTAGAAGTGGATAGGACACACATTGAGGAAAGCCCCCACTTGGAATCCTCAGGGCCAAAGGAGGAGAGGGAGACCAAAAAGCACATTAGGTCAAGAAATGGAGACAGACATGAGAAGAATGAACAGCGATTGGATAGAACTAGATAGGAAGGTCCAGGATAGAGTGGGTTGGAGAATGTTCTTCGGCAGCCTATGCTCCATTGGAAGTAACAGCCATAACTAAGTTCAGTGTGACCAAGTTAAATATGATAATTTTTTAAATAGCATTCATTGTGGACACATACTCAACTGGAAAAATGTTCAGATCTTGGATAGAGGGAATTCTAAGAATTCTTAGAAGCTTGGTACTAAGGTCAATCAGCAATTAACAAGCACATTTAAAATCGATCCAATTTAAAAACCAATCAGAAAAATTATGGACAAATATAGGATCAAAAATAAAATCAATGGGAAATACAACCAAAAATAAAGAAGTAAAAAATGATATGTTAAGAGTTAACAAGAACCAATGAACATCGGGGTCTACGGGATAAGATGTGAGTCATATGTGGAAAAATTCGAACACTCCACTTCAACCCGAAGTTTGTGTTGATGATGTCGTTCGGAATAACGATGAAAGCTCTACGACCAAACCATCTAGCTCAGAGAACGAAACTCCATCAAAATCATCCATCTGAGCTACAAATCTTCTCAATTATCTCAATATCATTCACTTAACTTCCTGTAGATTGTTCAGCTGGGAGTTTATAACATCGACGTCAGTATATTGAAAACATATTTAAAGTAATTAAATGAAACTGTACATAGTTATTGAGTTATATATTTACTTCTATTGAAGTTCCACATTATGATAGAAGTCAATAATAAACAGTTTTAATATTCATTGACACATTGTAATCTTATATATTGAGGAAAACTTGCCAACTCAACTACAACTAAGCTTACTGTCATATATATATATATATATATATATATATATATATATATATATATATATATATATATATATATATATATATATATATATATATATATATATAATGCAGCACGATAGGTTAGTCGTGAATAGGGGAATATCATATTTATGTTTAGACTGTTTAATATGAATATAGAAAAAAAGTTTTTTATTTATACCTACGCTTAAGAAGTAATGGTTTAGTGGTTAAATTACTCGGTTTTTAACCAACAAGTGATCGTCAGTTCGAATACAACTCTCTCTCACACACGCACATACACACTTTGATACATGTAAAAGCAAGTAAGGCGAAGAAATATTTCTTTTCATATGAAGAGTATGGCTAAAAGCTAAGTAACAAAAAAAAAACCCTTTAACATTTGGTTAATTTCAAGCATGTATGTTCAAGATAGGAATACTTACAGAATTGACATATGATTGTAGAAAAGATTCTTCACTACTTTCATTAGAGATTATTGTTGTTTCATTTAATGAAGATGATGATGACGATGATGATTTACATTCACAACGATAAACAGCTAAATAAAGAACATCTTTAGCCATATTTACATCTTCTTCTAACATTAATAAATTACTTGTTAAACTTAAAAGATTACAACGAAATGGTGCCACATATTCATGACTTGCTATTACCTTGAAAAGTAAAGAAAACATTTAAAAGAAAAGTATTACTATTACAATTAAAATCATTACTATTATTATCATTGGTGAGTGAAAATGAGAATTTCAACCTTTTATTAAATTTTCTAAAGTGAGATATTATCGCTAAACTGGTAAAAACCGGGAGAATAATTGAAAACTAAGGAGCACTGCATAGCTGTTTTATGACTGAAGAGAGGTTCAAACAGAGAGAAAGACAAACATCAATATAGAGATACTAGCACAGACGTGAGTTGATCCTATTTGCCATACCCTATTAGCACATTATCATATCTAGAATGACACGGATAACAACATCGATGGCATCAGACCATTGTGGTGATAAATCATGAATTAATAGAATGTAGTTGAAAATATGAATTATTCCGTTATAATTCAGAAAGGTTTAAGAACATTATAAATCATCAAGAGGCTTGAAAGTCATAGGTAAGAGCCCTGGAAAAGTGTGTACAAATCTGCTATAACGATTTAAACCAGGATAAAACAACGGCCCAGTTAGTTCGTGTGACTTTATATTGACGCCTGACCCACCATTGATATTCTTTTCTAAAAGAATAAAGAATGAAAGCAATGAACAGGTTACTATTTTATCCACTGATCATTTTCGTTTTAGAATCCGTTCATTTCATTCATGCGTCATATGTGGATGTACCAAGTGTAAAAGTTTCAGATAATAAAAGTGACGTAACCTGGTATCCTTACGTAGCTAACAAATACACTTATTTATCTTAATCTTCCAGAAATAAATACATACGAAAGACAGTTGAAAAGATACTGAAAATTTATTTATTTAAACACATAAATATTGGTACAAAGGCGCATCGAACACAAATGTGCCACACAAGTTACTTGATTTGTATGTGGGCTGTGATACTGCCTGGGTGCCCAGACCGGAGTAGGTGGTTTACTCAAAGGGCCACAACCTGAGCCTTTGACCTAAAGGTTTGACCCACAATGCAGTGGAGCATCGTAAGGAGATGTAGTAACATGGTAGCCGGTGACCAACAGTGGGTTACTACGCCATTTGTTCCCTCAGAATACTGGAGCTAATGTGCACCATTAGTTTGGAATCAGGGTTTTCTAAATCCTCAAGGTGGACTCTCCGTGTCTACCAACCCGGTTAAAGCGCCGGATATTCTCTTTTTGTCTTCCTAATTTCGTAAACAACAGTAATGCCGTTAGAAGGCAGTGAGTAAAACTTGCCTGACCATGGCTATATACGCGTGGCCATGTGAGAGTATTTCGAGAGGGAAAGCTAACTATCCTCACTATCGGTCAGACCAGGGCATTTGGGGACACTGAAAATGTCAGTTGAACATAGACATGAGATGGATAATATCTTGAATTTTAACGGAATACTTAGTAAGGAACTGATAATTCAAACTTTGATTTATTGATTCAATCTGATAGACGATGTTCAACTATAGAACGCAGCATGTATATTGAAAATAGTAATCAATACTATTATAGAGACACCGATGCCTACTGGATACTAAAATATGCAATAGAATAGATAGTACAGCTATCAAGCATAGTAAAAAACTATGCCTAAGAAATCGACTTTTGTCTGTTTCGCTGTATTTTTATTGACAGTTGTTAAACCGATGTCTGGTACTCAGAATACGTTCAAGTTTAGTTAGTTAGGAGTTTAGAAGATTTATTTCCATTTCAAGAGTGAACTTCACTGTATAATGCAAAGCTGGACTCATTCACTCCACTTCACATAAAAACACATATTAAGTTAATGATTAAACTACAGAGGTAAAATGGGAAGTTATTTCAGTTGTTGTGTGAAGTTTTGTTTTGAATTCTCGGTCCACTAATGGATATTCTTTAACTAATCATCCAACCTATTAATAAATATCAGAATGTGAATACAATGGTTGAAACACTTTTTATAAAATGAGTTTCAGGTTTAAACCTTGCCGTGGTTAGGCAAATGTAATGCATGTCAACAACACACACACAACCTTGGTTCAAGGTTCCGCATGCATAAACATATACTTGGTTGGTAGGTGAGTTACATTATATCCTTGTGCGAAATTGAATAGAAACGCATACAAAACAAAAACAGACTATAAACAAAACAAACCTGTCTAATACATCCTTTAGGTAATAGTTTAGCTAATGCAGACAATGTCAGTGTAGAGTGTATATCTTCGGTTAATGATTGTACAACCAATTGATTTCCAACAGCTATATGCTGAACTAATCGACTAAATGGGTTGACACCAAGTACAGTAAGTAGTCTGGACAAGATCATGAAAGACCTAGTGCCGAAAATAATAAAAAGAAATGTGTAAGTATATAAGTCAATATTTAAGTGCACAAATACGAATGCAACTCTTCGTAATATACTATATCTTTTAGACAGGTTACGAAATCAAGAATAATCGAACCCCATAACTACTGGAATAAATAAATAATTGTTGATGGATATTTCGTGTTTCCGTTTTTCAACTAAATGATATCAATATGAAGGATAAAATCTATAGTTCAGACGGATAATATTTGTTATGACTCTTTTTTTCGCAAAATCCTCGTCGCTAATTGACGTGTCTTGTAGCCTATTAACTAACAAGTAGTAAGATCGCCAATCAGAACACGCCTTATACAATCTAAGCACTATGCCAAACCAATGACATTCGACCGGTATGAACACCCGTGACTTTATCGATCCTTCTCATCTAGCCATGCCTGTTGAGCCTAGAACACCAATAATAGCTTCTACTATACAAATCATATATTTCAAACATACTTGGTTTATATACCAACCAGAAAGACCATATCATACCATTAATAGTATAATAACAATTGTACAAGATCAAGCCAAAAAGTGACTGTGGTTGTGAGAGAATTTAATTGATAACCTGGGTATAAATTAAGAATAGTAAATCGTATAACAGTAGTCGATAGTTCAAAATAAAGCTTATAATAAGAGAAATATGAATATACATATTCTAGTTACTCAATAGTTATACAATAAAAATAATATGTATAATATTAGTCCATAAATAGATTTTAGAGGTTATTATTAACTTATGTTTCGTCCGCATATAACGCTTTCAGGCTTTCAGTTTTCCCGAACAACCTAATGTAATTCTCATCTAAACACATGTGTACATAATCACCCCAATATCGGTTATTTGCAACTAATGTGTTAGCACAGTTTACTTCATTACACTGATTAGGTTGTAAGTCAGATTTTGAGTAATGAATACTAATAAAGCATTAGATAGTATAATTTCGATTAGTCAACATCAAATTTCCTTCATTATAAGTTCTCAAAAAGCATATGGGTCAAACTCAAGGATTTAAGTGAGTAAACTATGCGGATTAGTTCAATGTGAAGTGAGCTCTCATTAAGAATTAATATCAGTTAAGAAACCATTGAAAAAGATTGAGCATTAAACAACTGTTTTATCCTGTTTCGGGCTCCTTAGTAGTGTCCACCTACAATCACGGTTATATCCTAGTGAAGATTAAATTATATCAGTCAGTAACAACGTAGAACTTCGTATGTACGTACGTACATCAGTTCAAGTTGTCATACCACATTAGCACACAGATACAATTGTCGATTCAAAATCCCATAGTAGTAGAGGTAGTAAAAGTATAAGCAGTAATCGAAAAGATTAGGTTGAAATAAATTTGGAAAGAGAAAAGAAGGGATATGAAGTATTCGGAAGATTAAATTATGGGTAATTTATGAGGACTATTAATGAACTAATATTATGTATATATTCATATTTCTCTTATTCTAAGCTTTATTTTGAACTATCGACTACTGTTATACGATTTACTATTCTTAATTTATACCCAGGTCATCAATTAAATTCTCTCACAACCACAGTCACTTTTTGGCTTGATCTTGTACAATTGTTATTATACTATTTATGGTATGATATGGTCTTTCTGGTTGGTATATAAACCAAGTATGTTTGAAATAAATGATTTGTATAGTAGAAGCTATTATTGGTGTTCTAGGCTCAACAGGTATGGCTAGATGAGAAGGATCGATAAAGACACGGGTGTTCATACCGGTCGAATGTCATTGGTTTGGCATAGTGCTTAAATTGTATAAGTTGTATTTCGATTGGCGAATAAATCACGTGATAATTAGGTGGGTTTAAAGTCACAACACACGGGTTAAATATCAAGTACACGTTTCACAGTAAGCACATTGCTTTTTACCCAGAGTTCAAATTTAATAGTTCACATCTAGTACTTCAGTCTATTTGATATAGAACGACCGTTATCTTGGTTAATTGTTAATAAGCTATTCAAAAAGGAGGGCATAATAAACTAAGATGTTAAAAAATCGAATTAAAGGTAGTCGATCAATATGTAATTACCATAGACAACCTTGCTATTCTCATCGATCTACACTAGGGCAACAAAATCTGAACGAGAAAATAAAGCGAATTCAGGAGTGAGCAATTTATGATCACAACAAAACTAACACCATATTAAAAATCAGTGTATAAATTGTTGCTCAGTTAACAGAACGGTAAACTGACAAATTTGTATATACGCAATTACAACTTTAATCACAAAACTACCGAATTCTAAATATAAAGCCCTGTTTCATCTATTTCGGTTTGGGCAACTAATATACCAATATAAGGAGAAAGTGTGGCTTGAAGGCAAGTAAAAGAATCGATGACTACTTGGTAGTATATTCATCACTAGCCCACTCCCTCTCTTTCTTTCTCTCCTTTTTAAACACACAACTGCAGTTTTCGCTCAACGTCGCTATATGTACAAACTGTTACTGGAGTACGTGTTTTTACAAATATCAAGAAAGTGAGAATGCTCACGTGGAATTCGCCATTTCTACTGACATATTGTTTAAATACAGCGATATTTTTTTGTTATTAGCTGCTTCAATCGAATCTCTTGTACCATTGGTTGTTGAATGATTTATTGATTTTGATAATATTGTAGAACCACTTGATTGACTAATACAACTCATACTATGACCAAGTTTATGACCAGGCAAATTAAAAGTGTTAGCATTGGCAGCGGCAGCAGCATTTCTTGAACTAGATGTTGTTAAACATTCAAGACCAGCTGAAATATAAGCTTCATATTCTTCCTGAGATACAATTGAATCTTCATCAACTGGAGGTGCAATAGCAGGAGGAACTATACTCCATCGACGACCACCGGCACGAAGTAACCATGTGAACCAAGCATGTAGACGATAGAATATCTACGAATGAATTTGATTAAGTTGTTACACAAACGAAGATACGTAAATGTACATATATGTTTTTTGTTCTGAGAACAGACTGTATTAGGTAGCACTTTACAACATTTTAAAAAATCTTAAGATTTTCACATTCAGTATTAATGAAGGTAACTAATCAGTACAATAGTAACTGATTTCAAATTCATGTACCTCAACCCTGAAAGTTAGTCATTTTTTGTGCCAGAACTATTATTAACATAGACAACGGAATTTTTGTTTGTATGATTCATCTTAATTTTGGAAAATAATAATAGTAAGCGGTACGGGAATATACGGTTGGTTAAGTTGTCAGGGTTGGATGGAAAGTGCTGGTGGGCGGTCTATGCTCCTCCACGAAGAGTAACAGACGTAATTAAGACAAATCTGTTTGAAAAGGGCGCTTTTTATTTATTTTATTTCAACACATAGATAATGGTACAAAGAGGCACCAAATACATATGCGCCACACAAATCTCATCCGATATGTGTGAGGGCTGTGATACTGCCCGGGTGCCCAAACCGAAGCAGGTGGTTTTCTTAGGGGGCCACACCCCGAGCCTTCGACCCAAAGGTCTGATCCACAAGGCAGTGGAGCATCGTAAGGAGATACAGTCCCATGGAAGCCGGTGACCAACAATTGGTTCATTCGCCATTTGTTCCCGCAGGATACTGGAGCCCATGTGCACCATTGGTTTGGAATCCGGTTAAAGCGCCGGACATTCGCTTTTCGTCCTCTCATTTTCGTAAACAACACCCCCGCCACGAGAAGGCAGTGAGTAGGACTTCCCTGGCAGAGGCTATATACGCGTGGCCGTGTGAGAGTATTTCGAGAGGGAGCGCTTTACTCAAAGGTTAGTTTATGAACAGACGGCATTCAGCTTCTGGAAGATGCTGGAACTCTACTAAATGTAGTAGCATGATCAGAAATGTAACACGTGGCTTTTCATTGCAGACTTTTTATGCAGACTACTTGGTTGGGGTCCGCGTGACTATCGTAATCAATGGTTTGAGACTCTAGGTGACATGGCTCAGAATCGATCACAATAGCGTCGGTGTATACACTTTCTGTCTTCCCTTAAACTAAGAGATTAAAATCGCTTCATATCTTACTTTCTACCAACTAATTCTTTCTTCTTGTACTATATCCTTATTGCAATCTTTCTTTTACATATTACCACCTCTGAATTAACTACTTTTATGAATCTGGTGTCTATCCTGTTGTGTTAATGAGGTATGGTAACCTGGACCGATGCATATATGTGCCTGGTCGTACGTTGTAGCTGACTGACTGACTGACTGACTGATGTTTCTGAGAAACTTCGATTCAATACTGATTAGATGAAATGTTTCCGAGCATTTTCAGGACCCCTCTGGGCTTTTTTCGAGGAGTGTTCTGGATTTCCTCAACAGTAAGGAGCATAGAACTTGAAAAATATGTATATCAGATCGAGTTATCATGCGACATCAACACAGACAAGAAATTATCAACGTGAATAATAAATTAGCATAAATAGTAATATCAGTGGTAGTGGTAATTAAAAAAGCATTACTCATGGGGAATATTATTTGAGAAGAATGAATGCATGCGCGAAATAAAAAGTATAATATCATTTTGAAGCTCAAGGTTCAAGAACAGATAGGAAGTGAATACATCTGCGCCTTTACTGCCGATTCTCAGTAATAACATCTGACATCTCCAATTTATTGCCATGGAAATCGCTAAAACTTCTAAAATATTATTTTTTTCAAACAGGAACCCAACAATTTTTGGGTAGTTCATGATGAAGACCATTTCTCTTTCGTTTTTTATTTGTAACTAATAAAGCTGTGCAACCACCACGACATTAAAAAAATTTAAACATGACATATATATGTACACACATACTTGATCATCTTTTGTTAAATCAGCCAGTGAACGCATATCTGAGTCGGTAGCTCTTTTCTGTTTTGTTTCTCTTCCTAATGTTGCATTACTGTATAAACCGTATCCTGCCGTAACAGCATTACCTGCTGCAATAGCCTGTTTGTAAAGATTAGGAGCTAACGAAGCTGGAGGTGTAGCACATCTTCTCAATGGAGCTATCGGCTTCTGTGGATTTGAATGAGTCATTGTATTGACAACAGCAGCAGTTGTATTATCTGAAGTCTCATCACTGTATACACGATTGGCTGCTAGACGTAGACGAGAAACCATACGTGATATATTCGATATCTGTGATCCAACCAATCAAAATAAAACACACAAAACTTGATAGTAAAGTTACTTGAGAAGGTTTAGGATTTTGATGGAGTTTCGTTCTCTGAGCTGGGTGGTTTGGTCGTGGAGCTTTCGTCGTTATTCTGGACATCATCAACACAAAATTCAGGTAGAAGTGAATTGTTTGTGCTGATGATGTCGTTCAGAATAATGATGAAGTCTCCATGACCAAACCATTCAGTTCAGAGAAAGTTCCATCAAAAAGGAATAAAGTATTCACAATTCCGATCACTATACATTTAATAGATAGCAGAGACAATGTGGAATTAAAGAAGGTATTTAAAAATGATTAGCAATTAGCAAACAACACTGTTACTTCTCTGTAATATGCTTTTTGATCATTTCTGCTTTATCTTTTTCTACCTGGCTTCGAAAAGTTACTAGAATCAAATAACAAATCTTCCATTTTATTTGTGCATTTATGCCGATCGAGTAGAACCATACACGTTCCCCAAACTGGACGGACTAATAAAATATCTCGGTTCTCTTTACTAAGTTCTATCTATTGAATATGTCACTTAATTAAATAGCATTGATTTGTTGGTCATGCTTTCATGAACTGATAGGGACAGTTAAGTATTGTTGAGTTAAAATGTTGTGATTCCAAAGAAGTTGGAACAAGATCATCTGTTTAATTGATAAGATTTCCAAATTCGACTATGCTTGTCAGAATAATTAAAATATTTTGGGCCTGGAAACAGCGTTTGAGTTTATATTGGATGTGAGTTGTAGCGATGAACGATTGTACATATACTTTTAAGGTTTACCTGGAAATCTTCTCTGAATGATAGCTGATTGTAGAAAATATTTAAGTTTAATCATATCATTTTGAGACCTAGATTTAATCATATTAAGGATATACTCTTTGAAATACATTTGCAAATCGATAGAGACACCTAAAAAAGGGCATGAGATCTTCGTGGAATGTTTCAGTTCATTCATAAATGATTGCATTGTACCTATGATGCTTAGAGCTCGATGTTGAAGTGATCTGGAGTTGAGAGTTAGATGACTGTGAAGAAGAGACTTTTAAATGATTTTCGTATATTCCTTTTGATCAATGTGTATAAGTATTCATTTACCCATAATTTATCATATATATATATATATATATATATATATATATATATATATACTTGTACATTGTTGAAAATGAACTCAAGAAAGAAATTTATTTCCTACACAGTTCTGTTTATTATCTTATTTTATTTATCTAAGCACAATAGCATAAGTACAAGAAGGCACCAAATATATATGCGCCACATAAATCATTCGATTTATGTGAGGGCTAGGATACTGCCCGTGTGCCCAAATTGTAACAAGTGGTTTCCTTAGAAGGCCACAACCCAAGCCTTTGACCTAGAGGTCTGATCCACAAGGCAATGAAGCGACGTAAGAAGATGCAGTCCAATGGTAGCCGATGACCATTTTTTCTCTCAGGATCCCGGAGCCCATATGAAGAAATGGTTAGGGATCAGGATTTTTCAACTCGCTTACGTGGACTCTCCGCGTCCACCAACCCGGTTAAGGCGACGGACATTCGTCCTCTCAATTTTGTAAGTAACACCCGCGTCGCGAAAAGGCAGTGAGTAGGATTTCCCTGGCAGTGGTTGTATGTACGTGGTCATGTGAAAACATTTCGAGAGGGAGAGCTAATTCTCCCCGCTCTCGGCCGTACCAAGGCATTCGGGGGTGTCTATTATCTTAAAGAACGAAAAAACAGAAATTCCTTTTGTCCCTGAAACTCAATCGGAATCTTCGTTACATCATGATACACATTCATCTGTATGTCAATTTCTGTGATAACTTTGATCTTAAAATTTTATAGGCTGTGAGCAGATGATGAGAACCGAGAGAAATAAAATAAATTCACATTATTTTACATCAATCTTCTTTTTTTTCTCTCTTCAAAAATAATTTGTTTGTTGAATAAGTTACTTAACAAGGAAATATGTCTTCGAATGGTAAGTAAAATACTGTATCTATGAGACATGATTGCTGGTGGTGGATTACAAGTACTAATCAATAATAGTCATTTATATACAGGACCGGATACGTTGAAATTATAAGTAGAACTTTAGGGAATAAAAGCAAGTAAGTCAACAGAGCTGTGAATCTTGGTAGATTAGTTGTAGACAGTGAGAACCTGGAACAAATGTACATCATAAACCAAGTTTCAACAACTCACATTACAACACTAGGGAAAGAAATTATCGCGATGGTTAGTTAAGGTAGGGAAGTCACATCAATTGTATAGGGAAGATAAACATGTGGAATACAGTCTATTCAGTTATTGATATAAACGGTTTAATTTTTATCAGTCGTAATCACCATATTTGCATATGATAATTTAAATCTTTTTCTATTAATAATATAAGTTGTCCAGCAAAATGCAGCACTATTAAGTTTGACTCTGAAAAATACCAATTAAGATATTTGACAGTATCACAAGTCAGAAAATCAAATCAACTAGCCGATCATAGTTACATGAATGACTTAGTAAGTAGCCCGGTGGAAAACGCATTGACGTTTGAGGCGAAATGTACTGAGTTCAAGTCTCACTATGAATAACAACACTGGGATTCAGGTATATCCTTATGACGAGTAGCAAATAGAGAGAAACGCATGTTCTCGATTCTAATGCTAGTCACTATCCAACCTTATTAAATGTTACAATTGAATAATTAGAAAGAGGAAATCCATTGAGAAACAAAATAACTATCGGGCTTACCAAAAATGACCATATATTTAGTAGGTATATCTTATCCCATGATAACACCAAAATACTGAAACGACTTTGATTACCACGCGCACGTGAATCATTCAAAGGGAAATTATAACTAAAAACATGACCATTTATTTCATCACCAAAGTAAAATGCACCGACTTGACCTGGGCAAACCTACAAAAAATTACATTATTATACAGTGTGATATTAATAGTACTATAAGTTCAAGATGAAAATGTTTCAAATATCCAAAATCATTAAGAACGAATACTGAACAGATAGATTTATTGATTATGGAACAATGGGAGTTTAGATTTCACTACGATGTTCGACTATAGGTAATGATAAAACGTAAAAATTGTGGCGTTTTTAAATATAAACCCAACAAAACTTCTTTATAACAACACATTTGAAAGTACCATACATTTGACCAGTGAGATCAGTAAGATGACTTTAAATGCAGAATTGCATACTATCCTCTTTATGATCTTTCTGCTAATCGATGGAATCCATGGTGAACACATTCAATTAGTGTCACCAACTTCAAACTTCAGATTTAGCAGCCTGAATACACTTTACAATTGTTATCAATGGCTCCTAGGCTGAAAATTATCTGCGAAAGCTGGGACTGTGTGAAAAAAGGTAGTCGGATTATGACAAAGTATCGAGGGATGAAGAATAGCTATGTAAAGACGAATCTGTCGGTCCATGACGACTGCTTTGTTGGGGTCTTTTAGATTATATAACCTAACAGTTCGAGTTTTCAGATTATTCGGAACCTAAAACAAAGGAGACTTCGTTACAATTTTCTATAGTGTTTTCCATATAAGTATCTTGGTTGTGTGCTCAAATAATTTATGGCCTACAACATACATCTTAGTTTATGTATTTATTGATTAGACAACCTTCTTTTCTACTGTTTTTGGATGTCCTACAATACCAAATTTATGGCTTGGAAAGAAAACAAGTGGAGATTTGAAGCTCAGGTGGATGAGTTTGGTGGAGTTTTGTTCTATGGACTAGGTGATCCGGTCGTGGAGCTTCCATCGTTATTGTGAACGACATCATCCCCACAAGCTTCGGATTGAAAAGAAGTGTTCGGATTTCTCCACATATGGCTCACAACTTGTCCCGTAGAACTCGATGTTGATTGGTTATTGTTAACATGCCCCCAAATGCCCTGGTACGGCCGAAAGTGGGGAGAGTCCGCTCTCCCTCTCGAAATACTCTCACACGGCCATGGTCCTATATTTGTCCATGGTTTTTTTCTGATTGGTTGATAAAGTATGGACAAATATAGGATTAAAAATTAAATCAATAGAAGATACAGTCAAAATGAAGTAGACAATGATAGGTTAAGAGTTAATAGGAACCAATCAACATCGAGGTCTATAGGACAAGCTGTGAGCCATATGTAGAGAAATTCGAACACTTCTTTTCAATCTGAAGTTTGTGCGGATGATAACGTTCAGAATAACGACGACAGCTCCACAGCCAAACCATCTAGCTACGAGGACAAAAGTCCATAAAAAAAAACAATTTCAGTGATTTTTCAACTACTTCCTATTGAGCGTTTTTAGGTCAGACCGGTTGCCGGGTAATAATTGTAAAACTATACTTCGGATCTTAGTGGCAATCAATATTTACCCCCCCCCCAAGTTATTCAGTTTACGAACTAAGCGACAGGGAAATCACAGAGTACTCTTAACTAAGGAGTGTCTATAACCTAGAGATGAATTGTAATTTATGTGCGTTTACTTGTGAAACCAGATATACGATTATGGTTGGATCAATACAGGACTTAATCTACTACTCCACTAGTAAAAACGTCCGAAGGAAAGTTGGACGATATTTATGAATACTTTTGGTGTTGATAGATTTGTAGTAAGTGGAAAAGTTTTAGTGAAAAATGGCGGCTCAGATAGATTCTTATTGGTCAGATTATATTTACATTAATCTGTATGCTTAACATCCTTGCCACGTATGTCAGTGGTATTATAATGTAATTGCATTTTGTTAGTCATAATCATTCTGCGTTTCCTGTAAGTCTGTGATATTGAGTAAAACATATTTGATCATGCTTATGGTGTGTTCTTGATAGTTTAGGCAGTTAAAGTCCTAAATTATTTATTACGTGGACGTATCATCATAGCGCCCCGTAAGAGTAGCCTAATTATAAACCTTTCAATAACTTTGTAAGCAACATGACTAGGACAATACGCAAAAACGATAGGCTATATAAATTTCCCAACATATAAAAGCGTGTCCTTAGGATTTAGAATGAAATATATACATTTTCTTACTTGAAATTCTCACAAACCACTGTTTCGATGTTTGCAATGAAGATGCAGTCTAAACAGACAATGGAAGCTTAATGATAAAACTCTACAAACTAAAGGATGTCTTATATCTAAGAGGACAACGAAAGAAAAATTAATTCTCATATCTTGATTAATACTTATCACCTTTATTTTAGATCCGTTTCATTTTCCGTGTTAATATTTATTTCATTGGTTAAACCAATATTCAGTTACTCAGAATGTTTGATGAACTACATAGGCCAAAGACATTATGACAAATTTTGTTGCTTTATGCTAGTGAATACTATATTGTTGTAATTTAATCATTTAAAAAATTGATTATAAAAATCAGTTTTGAACTAGAGGGAAGTATAATGCACAATCACATGTGTGTACCTATAACCTAGTATACATAAATTTGTATGACTACTTAATTCCATGTGCATTTTTACCATAAAGAAGAAAATAATGGAAAAATACGGACAAATCGTTTAAATATTAAAGCTAATAAGTGGCGTCAATTCCAGTATACAAAAAATAAGTAATTAACAATAAAATATCATAAAAAGAATCATATTAAGATAATCACAGAATGAATACCTCACTAGAAAGACTTCGCAAGCATGCATTTCGAACATGTGTACTTAAATCCGTGTCTTTTGGAAATTGCGTAGAAATATATGAAAGATTGGCAGAATGATCATAGCTAATTATTCCTAGTTCATCACGTAACAAGATAGATGAGCATGCTTTACAAGCTGGATGTGATTGTTGTTGCTGTTGAGTAATGTTTGATGACATCACTGAGAATCTCGATGCTATTGTTTAGAAAATAAAATAATATGTAACAAATAGTTGGATAGTTCGAAAGTGATTTGCAACACGAACTGATATCAGCTAGGTGATCAGTCAAAATGAAAGCATTGGTAGACAACCAAACATAAAAAGTGAAGTAACATTAAAACTAAAGATTGATCAAGGCTACTTTAACAAGGTTTTCAGCCATGCCATTACCTAAGGTAACTACCCTTTGAGTATGATCATTGTGCGGACCTCAACTAGAACGTCTGCACCCACCGACACAAGTTAATATGAAGGTCAGTGACTTCATAGCTTGGCAATACATCGCTCGATAGCCTCCACAACATTTCTAATCCAATGTAGTGTTGGATACGATTGTACATTGGGCGTAAACGACGCACACGAAGACAGTCAACCAATGGGATATGGTCATCAAGAAGAATAAAAACACTTTTGACGACAAATAACTACCACTGTCTTACTGTATGTGTATGAAACATGACCTATGTAAGTAGAAGACACAAGTTGTAAGTATTTGATCACAGGCACCTTCGATGCACTGTTCTAACATCTGGACCATCAGTGAGTAATCCCGAGGTATACCACAATAAGCTGCTCGGTAGAAAGAGCAATCTCGCTGATGACTATAAACATTTAACGACCAAAGTTATGAGAACATTTTTTACACAATCATAACCACCAACGTTGCGATATGATTCGGCACTGGTCAGTGGCGCAGTTGCATTTAGTCTCCATAATTGACTTGAGTATAATTTTTCTACTTTCCCTCATTCCATGACATTGGTCTCTTTCGAAGTGTGCTTTTCACGTTTACATTCGAACAGTCGTTGACAATAAGTCCCATCCTATGTTTCTCGCTTTGCTGGTAGTCCATCAATGTACTGACGTGAAGTGTTGGAACATCAACCAAACGAAACTCGTCAAGTTCGGAAAGAGGAAAATTCAAAGAATAAAAAATACGGACTAATATTGAAGCTCAAGAATTAAGGGCAGATAAAGAACAAATGCATCTTCCTTACTGTAACCGCTTTTCATACACATCATGTAATATCTGAAACCACATCGTGCAGACCCCAACCAGATAGTCTGGATGTACTCATAAAGTTCAGTTCAGCAGCCAATGAATTCATGGATTGTTACTACGTCTTAGTTCGCCCACTCCTACTTCTCTTTGGACTGATTCCTATCTCAACCAGCATTGAATGTCCAGGTTGTCGGTGATTAGACACGCGTAACACATGAATGACGAGATAGACTAAAATAGTAAATCACTAGTAAATAAACAAGTAATCATATCAAAAATTGTATTTAAATTTATTATTACTCTTCAACCTGAAGTGACAAACTAATTATATCAGATTTAAAACCTCCCATTACAGGCAGAAAAAAACAAAAACACATAAGCAACAAAACTACATACATGAAGATGGTAAAGGAATAGGTGGAACATCTATCCCAGTAAAAATTGCATCTTCGCTACTTTGTAGAGCATGATTAGATAATTTTCTTTGATATGTGTTTACATCTTTGTTACTATTATTAGCATTGGCAGTAGTAACATCGGGTACATTATTTACAGATAAATTTGACTGTGATTGTTTAAATGACTGGGTACACATTATTACTGATGGACCATGTTGTTCACAGAAATGACACAAAACAACTATGGCGTCCATAGTTCTTTTCACGCCATTTAGTAACCGTGATCTAAAAACTTAAGAAAAAAAACAGTCGTACATGAACTTAGCAAATACACTTAAATGTACGTTAATTTTTGCATCAGATAAATGGACCAGGAATAGGTCTTAAGAGGCGAAGTTAGTTAACTGATGGATAGGTGATCATCATCTATTTTGGTAGTAAAACTAGTATTATGCGTCTAAAAGTCGAATAATTCGTGTGTAAAAGTGGCTAGCTTATCATATAAAGATCATTTTTGTTGGTTAGACGTTGTTTATTAATAATTGATGAGCACGGATTTGTAAGGAATGATTATTTGGTTACAAACTGTCAGCATTTTGATAGGTAATAAAATCTTCAGTTTCTAAAGAATCACTAGTGGATAAATCATTGTCTTCTTAAAAAATATACTGGATGAAGGTCACTGCTTTTGACGATAAATTCGGCAATATCAGTGATTGAGCAGTTAAGTTAATAGCTAGCACTTCAATATCTGTCTAAACCTTGCAAATTAAAAGCACCTAAAATGTTAAAAAGAGATTAATTCCAACATTTTTACGCTCCAATACTTAGTGCGAGGATGGAACGCAATGTCACATGCTCTTGAGGTATGAGAAAATAAAACAAAAATTTCGAATAAACATACTAGGAACGAATCCAACTTCAATTTTTGAATAAAGGTTTCTGAGATACAGTACAAACATCAGTAGACACTTTACAGTTATACTAAGAGATGTCACTATTTCAATCTCTACCTACAAATGTTAACTTGTAACGGAATATATATGTATTCCGATGGGTATATTTTGCTGTTTAAGGCCCTCTTGAAAATATATTCTCTGAAGTGAAATTACTAGTGTTATTAACAGTCTAATTTTTTATAAGTTTTTTTGAAAGCATTTACTATCTAGCACCATTAGTTAGCAAGAAGCTTACAGTCAGTCAGTCAGTCAGTCAGTCAGTCAGCTACAACGTACGACCAGGCACATATGTGCATCGGTCCAGGTTGCCATACCTCATTAACACAACAATATGAACACTAGATTCATAAAAGTAGTTAATTCAGAGGTGGTAATATATAAAGGAAAGATTGCAATGAGGATATAGTACAGGAAGAAAGAATTGGTTCGTAGAAAGATGTGAAGCAATTTTAATCTCTTAGTTTAAGGGAAGACAGAAAGTGTATACACCGACGCTATTGTGATCGATTCTGAGCCATGTCACCTAGAGTCTCCAACCATTGGTTACGATAGTCACGCGGACCCCAACCAAGTAGTCTGCATCTACCAACATGGCTCAGACCAGAAGTTAGTGACTTCAAGCGCTGATGCCACGTTTCGGTCTAGCCGCCCCTAACTTTCTTCCAACCATTCCCAACATAAGTCAGCATTGCACGTCGTGGTAATCGGTGTTCAGGCATTCGTAACACGTGGCCCAACCATCTCAGTCGATGAAGATTCATAACCTCATCAACTGATTTACTATCATTCCCTAATACCCAGCGTTTGACCTCACTATTACTTACCCGGTTATCCCAGCAGACGCCAGCAATATTTCTAAGGCATCTGTGGTCAAATACTAGTAGCTTACGGGTGTCTTCTATTCTTAAAGGCCATGTTTCGCTGCCGTAAAGTAAGACAGAACGGACTGCCGCGCAGTATACTCGTCCTTTTGTTGATAGACAGATATCTCGCCTTCGTCATAGGTGACGTAAGTTGGCAAAAGTCAAACGAGCTTTTCGAATCCGTGCTGAGATTTCGTCACACACAAATCCATTAGGGTTGATCAGACTTCCAAGATAAGTGAAGTTGTCAACGCGTTTGACTATTTTACTCCCTATCCTTAGTTCAGGTGTTGACGCAGACCAGTCCTGAGGCAACAACTTGCATTTAGAGGGAGAGAAGCGCATTCCGAAAATTCTGGCATTGTCGCATAGTGCTACCAAAAGACTCTGCATTTTATCAGCGTCTTCACCAAACAGGACTGTCATTTGCGTATTCTAAGTCAGTTTCAGTTTGAGGAGGACAAGAGGCTTGATGGCCTATGTTAGTCCTGGCAATGGTGGTCTCTCAGTTGATCCAACTTTCTTTCGAATGTATCGACGGATGGAGCCTCAACCACGTGCTGAGGTAGTGAATTCCATTCGTTGATGATTCAATGGGAAAGTCCATAGTCAGCTGACAAGTAATTTGTTCTCGGCTTGTGAACTTTTTTGGAGTGTCCTCGTAAATTTTCTGTTTTGGAAGACAAGAAAAATGAGGGCATATTAGGTGCAAATTTGGCACTAAGCAATCTTTAGACTGTAATCAAGTCGCCTCTAGTTCTGCGATATGACAACGGGAAAAGGTTCAGCTTGGCCAGTCGAGCTTCACACGGAAGCTTCGCTATTCCGGGAATCAGCTTAGTTGCCGTTCTCTGAACATTTTCCAGAAGCTCACTGCCTTTTTTTAAGCAGGGGCTAGCCGCTTGTATGCAGTACTCAAGTTTAGGACGTACGAACACTGCATACAAAGTCAAAAACGTTTTAGCGTCGACATGACTAAAGGCTCTACGTATTGACCATAAGGTTATAAAACCTTTGGCGGCTATTGCACGGCAGTGTGCAGTAGTCTTTAAGTCTTGACTAACGATAACTCCTAAGTCATTATATGTCTGGACGACAGGTAGCTCAGTGTTATTCATCGTGTATGTATCTGTGCCTTGATGACCGATATGCATCACAACACACTTGGAAGTATTTATCGGCAACTGCCAGGTTTGAGACCATTCAGGTATCTTCTTCAGGTCATTTTGAAGTTCTAAGCTATCATACTTACATCGTATCGTTCCCCATATCTTGACATCGTCAGCATATAGCAAGACCGATGATGATAGGAGACAAGGAAGGTCATTTACATACAAGAGGAATAGCACTTGCCCCAAAACTGTACCCTGAGGCACTCCACTAAGCACAGTTTCCCAGCTAGATAACTTTGAGTTCACCCTTACTCTTTGTTGACACCCAACTAAGAAGTCTTTTATCCACATCAATAAATTGCCTCCAATCCCGACATCTCTTAACTTATATAACAGCCGGTTGTGTGGAACTTTGTCAAAAGCTTTACTGAAATCAATGAAGGCTACGTCTACAGGTAGCTTTTGGTCCTTAAGAGCGCACCAGCTTTCACGAGCCACTAATAAGTTAGTGAGACAAGAATAACCTATTCTGAAGCCGTGCTGCTTCTCCGAGAGGATCCGGTTTTTATCGAGATACTTAAACAGCTCCTCCCTAATATTTTCTAATATTTTAACAACCACACTAGTTAGGCTAAAGGGGCGGTAGTTCTCAGGTTTGTGTTTCGTACCTGTTTTGAAGACAGGACTTACTATGGCGTTTTTCTAATCTTTCGGTAAGCGACCCTGCGTAACGGATAGGTTAAAGCATGTACTTAAAGGGCTTGCAACGAAGTTAGATAATTCCTTTAGTAGCCTAGGATGTAATTCATCGGGCCCCGTGGATTTACCTATATCAAGCTTATTTAGCAGACCAAAGACATCGAGTTCTTTAATGGTCACGCTATCCAGTGTATGTATGGGGGATCTGTATACGCTGACGAGAAGGGCGCTTCTATGGTATACACGTTGCTAAAGTAGTTCGAGAACGCTTGAGCCTTACCAAAGTCGTCCTCCACTAATGATGAAGCAGTACTGTCTCCCCATAGAGCAGGAATATTTCCTTTTCTCCTTGTCCTTTGGTTTATATAGGAATACAAGCGTTTAGGACATTCTATGGATTCCTTAACAAGTTTTTCTTCGTACAGTTTTCTAGACTTACGGAGGGTCGAGGCACAAGTATTCCGAGCCTTTCGATACTGAGATTTTGACTCATCAGTCCCCAGTAGCCCAAATCTATCCCACATTTTCCTTTTCTTACAGAGAATGATACGGACCTCCCTACCGAACCATAGTGCGGAGTTTTTCGGCCCCTTTGGTATAGTCCAAGGGATGTGAGGTTTGGTAACTTTTAAGTAAGAATTTCGAAATGCATCCCAGGCCGTTTCAATGGAGGACTCTGGGTCTATTGTCCAATCTATTAACGATGCTGAGTGCATGATGTCTGGTATGTTTGCTTTCCAAACGTTGGGTCTGGACTGGACTGATGCGTGCTCGTGACTGGCAGTTATATTGAAGTCGAAAGTTAAAACTGCGTGGTCACTTTTACCTAGGGGTGGCATATGATGGAGGTTCGCAACATCATCCTCATAGTGAGTCAGTATAAGATCTAATAAGAATGATTCAGTGTCCGGGTCGTACCTTGTCGCTCCTTTCACATGTTGCACTAGGGCACATGTGATAACCCCATCAACTAGTTCCTGCTCGAAGGAATTTTCTGACGATTCAGTTCGCAGATTTTCCTAGTCAACCATAGGTGCATTGAAGTCCCCTAGGATTAGACATCGACCACTTTGTGACCAAGTACTGAGACTGCTTAGCAGGACTTCATTTACCTCACAGCTTGGACTGCGATAGACCAAACCAATCAGCAGCTCTTGTCCCTTGCATTTCAAGCAGAGACTAATTCACACGTCCCACTCTCATGGGATACACTGTCGATAATGGCAAATGGGATAGCATTCCTAATGAATAGAGCCACTCCCCCTCCTTTGCGCTTTTGTGTTCTGTCGGCCCTTACTAACGTAAAACCCTCGAAATCAAGTTCCATACTATCTATAGCCTGTGTCAGCTAGGTTTCTGTTACTGCGATTTTGTCTGGCTTTGTAGAGTCAATCTGTACACCTAGTTCCGATCGCTTATTGAGTAAGCTTCGTGCATTAGTGTAACAGATCTGAAGCCTGTTTAAGTGCCTTCGTGCTTCACCCAGAGTGACTTCGGCATCATTCTCCGTCGAAGTCTTACAACCCGAAAATTTAAAATTTTCAGGTTTTTTTCGCCAGCGTCTAACTTAAGTTGTAGTTCTTTTTCGGCTTCCCGTCTTTTAACACGGTCTGCCAACGGTAGGTCCTTTCGGATAAAGACTCCTGAACCCTTTAATTTGTGTCCATTCTGTAAAATTAGGTCACGTTCGTTTGAAGAGCTGAATACTACTTTAAGCAGTCTGGAATGATTTGGTTTCGAGTCCGCTAGACTCCCTAGTCTGTACACCTTTAGCAAGGTGACCCCGGTCATATTTTGAGGCATGAGTTGATTAAGCAGCTGCCTAATCAGTACAATGTCATTCTCAAAACGACCTTTAGGTTCAGAGCTCTCGCTTTCCTTGATTCTATGAAAAATAGCTGATCTGTCGCTATGATCAACGTTCGATTTTTCAACCACTTTTACGGGGGCAGGATCCCCTTTTATATCCCTATTTTTCTTCCTTACAACCTGTACCCATTCGTCAACGGTGCTGGTAGAAGCAATAACAGGTGCGTCAAACCTAGTGTTGGATTTTAGGGGGTTGTTGACGACCTGAGAGGTCGGGTTATGTTTACCGCTTGAAACCGATCGAGCCTTGCGGTTGCGGCTTCTGGGTGTTTCCTGTCAGACCCCATCTGGAAGACGGGGAACAGGAGACCCTACTTTTCTTGAGCCTTTGTTCAAGGCAGGCCCGTTTAGAGACTGCTTTTCCTTCTTTGACCGGCGTGAGTTATCTACTATCGAACTAACCTTAGTTTCCTTCACGTCGATTTGCGTGTCGACAGATCGAGTGCTGATTGACGTGTTCCGACTATGCTTGCTAAAGCACTACTTTGCAGCCTCAACCAGTGAGATGACCTCGGTTAACAAGCTGTTTGCATCCGAGCAGCACTGTTGACAAAGCCATACACAACCCTTCTTACTGAGCCGTTTGAAAGCAGCAGGCGTTAAGAGTCCGCTCTCCCTCTCGAAATACTCTCACATGGCCACGCGTATACAGCCTCTGCCAGGGAAGTCCTACTCACTGCCTTCTCGTGGCGGGGGCGTTGTTTACGAAAATGAGAGGGCGGAAAGCGAATGTCCGGCGCTTTAACCGGATTCCAAACCAATGGCGCACATGGGCTCCAGTATCATGCGGGAACAAGTGGCGTGTGAACTAATTGTTGGTCACCGGCTTCCATGGGACTGCATCTCCTTACGATGCCCCACTGCCTTGTGGATTAGACCTTCAGGTCGAAGGCTCGGGGTGTGGCCCCCCAAGAAAACCACCTGCTTCGGTCTGGGCACCCGGGCAGTATCACAGCCCTCATACATATCGAATGAGATTTGTGTAGCGCATATGTATTTGGTGCCTCTTTGTACCAATATCTATGTGTTGAAATAAATAAATCGTGCAAACTTCGTGGTACCAGCCTTTGCACTCGTCGCACTGCATGCCGCTTTCAACAGGATAACGACAACCCGGACGTTGGCAACTGCTTTTTCACACTGTCCGGTCATTTAAAATGGGTTCTTTTTCAAGATGCGATGATGCTCAGAAACAAAAAAATAATCAATGACCAAAAAGTGAAGAGCTGTAGATTGCTAAGACCAAAAGTACTAACAGATACAGTTGAAAAAGAGGTACTCAAAAGTACCAACGACAAAACTAATTGAGAGAACAGTAAAAACGATAGTCTAGTCGAATACTTTAACTGAAATAAATTCAATTAAAGTGAAAACAGTAATCTTGATATGTAATGAACGATCAAAACAAATAAATTTACTCAGCGAGGAAAAATACCACTGTCCGGACAGTCGTCCGCCATTACTGACTTGAATGTTAATGTGAACCAACTGCTATCGAATTTTCGTGAAAGCCAAAAACCACATCAATTCGATTGCGGACTGTCCAGTCAGCAGTTTCCTTTGTCATCTGAAGAGGAACTGCAGATGCTTGATACCGGCTTGTCGCAGAAAGAAACGAGGGACAGATTTGTAAGTCATTAACATAAATTTAATTATTTGTGACGATTACAGATGGCAATGGTCACTAGGCTATCAAGTGACGACCCAAAAGCGTCCATGCGGTTTGTTTTGTCTTATCTGTTGACACCTGAGGTTGCCAGTAAATTCACGTTACTTGGCACCTCTTCAAAACGAGCACTGCAGAAATGCACGTTTTACGGCTGCATACGAAGTAACATTTATCTATTACTTAAACTTCAGGTGCTTTGACTCATCGGTTTTTGTCATCCTCTGTCAACGAAAAAGACCTTGGTAAGCTCTACGACATCGCGACCCAAAGTTACTTTCACGACATCCGAGACAAGATGATAAAACGTTCTAGGAGAAAAGATAACCAGGTATGTACAGATTTAAAGTGATAACCTCCCTACGGCTCTATAGTTACAGTCGACAATATTAACGAACATCACCGTAAGTTCAGCTTCAAGTATTTGGGTGTGCTAAAGCACATCATTGAGATATGGTTGTGACTTTTTTTTATTCAGAATTCACAGGACGACTACCTCAATTCCGAATAGTCCGTGCAATGGTTTTGGTGTTCTACCTAGATGTCAATAAACATTTTTCTTTCAAACAGCTTACTTTTTTACTTACTTGGGAAACGGTTGAGAATGTGTTTGAGTTTGAGTGAATTTTCGATTAAATGGACATTGCTTATAAATAAAACAAAAACTGTTACTTCTTTTTCAGATAATTGTCTATAAAAATGAATTAGCAATTGCATTGGATATGCATAACAATAGATGCCTAAGCTTGTGCTATACTGTTGTACAATTATAGGTTTTTCTTTTTAAATACAATATTTAAAAAATTAACCGCTTTTAAACTGCATTGCAGAAATATTTTTGTGTGTTGTTGGAAATGAAGGCGAATGCAGGAGACCTTTGGTGTTCTGTCGATGGATAGAAAATGGGGTGTAATGTGTGTATTTAGGCGTATATGCGACTAATCAGCGGATATTTAGGCGAAAATTCGGCGGATATTTAGGCGAAAACGTGACTATTCAGCGGATTTTTAGGCGAAAATTCGGCGGACATTTAGGCGAAAAAGCGACAATTCGGCGGATATTTAGGCGAAAAAGCGACAATTCGGCGGATATTTAGGCGAAAAAGCGACAATTCGGCGGATATTTAGGCGAAAAAGCGACAATTCGGCGGATATTTAGGCGAAAAAGCGACAATTCGGCGGATATTAAGGCGAAAAAGCGACAATTCGGGGGATATTTAGGCGATAAGTGGGTAATTTGTCGACAAAAAGGCGAAAAAGGGGAAATTCCGCATTATTTCCCCCGGACAGGCGAAAAAGGCGACATTCTGGCGCGTTTTCTCCTTTATTTCCCCTTTCGCCACCAAAGCATTTACCCCTTTATTTCCCCTTTTTTCCCCATTATTTCCCCTTTTTGGGTTGTCTGGGCCTTTATAAAAAGTCTATAAGTGGACATTAAAAGGTTGAATACTAATCAAGTTATAGGGTGAAAATTGAGGGGTTTACATTTCCAGTATGTTACGACAAATAATTATAATTATTTAATCTATAATTATAATTGTAGATTAAATCCAACCTGATACTACCCAACCAACCAATAAAAGCTTGTAATAATCCACTATTACTGTCAGTTACGTTTCGCAAGTAATCATCCGCTGCACGTATTGAGCTGTGGAACAAAATGGTTTTGTTAATGGGATAGTAACAAAGTATCCTACTGAATATGGCAGATAATAAAACATAAAGCAACGTACTGCAGTACGTTAAGCATGCTTAAACAGCACGTTGCCAACTATTTTTCAAAAACAATTACCCAATCCCATCAAACATCATAAACGACTAATTCCTATATCCAAGAAGATAAAATAGGAATTAAAAGCATATAGAATCACTTGTGAAAATAACAGGCCTAAAAGAATGAGCTACCAGATTGCAGAATGTAGCGCTATCGGGTGTGTGCGCCAAAATGTACAAATGGTTCAAATGGTTGTGGACGGAATAGAAGAAGCTTTCGCTTAACAGGCTTCCGTGTCTAGTAGCAGTGGATCACAAAAACTTCCAGGTAGGAACCTAGGTATGCCAACAATAAAAGAGGATATAGAAATTGGTAAATCATAGTATGATACCATCCTTGGACCTTAAGAATATATCAAGTTGCCTCTTAAAGGACTCCTGAGAAGTCGCTTGGTCCAGTTCAGTCAGCAGCGAATTCCAGCATTTGACAACTCTTAAGGAGTAGAAGTTGTGTCTGCAGTCCGTTCTGCCATGTTATGTCTCCAATTTCTGAGTGTTACCCCTTAGGTTGGTATTGGGACTAAGCTTAAGTAGGTGTTTAAGAGGATCTCCAGAAGTGGTAAGGATACTGTAAGCCATCAGAAGGTCACCTCTGACACGTCTATACTCTAATGAGTAAAGGCTAAGTGAATGAAGGCGCTCTTCATAAGGTTTAAATTTGAGTCCTCGAACTGATTTCGTGGCTCGTCGTTGGATACGCTCCAGTGTCCTTATCCTTTTGGAGTGAGGCAGGAAATACTATGTTTCCGTACTCTAAATGGGGACGAATGAAACTGTTGAAGCTTATATAGAAAGTTCTTCCGTCAAACTGGCCAAAAACGCGCTTCAATGTTAGCAATGCAATGGTTGCTCGGAAGGCATTTTTGTCACAGTTGGCGTAAGACTTTAAATCGTAGGACACCAGGACTCCTAAATCATTTTCGACTTGGTATTCTACTAGAGAGGAGTTTTCTAAGTTATAAATGTAGTCTGCGACATGTCGCAGATGGACTACTTTACACTTTGAAGTGTTAAAGGTAAGTTCGTTATCGTCTGCCCAACTTTGAAGTCCAGTCAGACCCTCCTGAAGTGCCCATATATCGTCTTGGTTGCGTATCTCTCTTTAAAGTTTCACGTCATCAGCAAAGAGTAACAATTCTGACGTTACCTGTTGAAGAAGATCATTTATGTAGATCAAGAAGAGAAGAGGTCCTAGTACTAAGCCCTGGGGGACCCCACTAGGACATTCCACAGACTGAGATAAATTGAAATTAACCCTGACCTTAAAATGTCGATTTTTCATGTATGAAATGAGCCAATCAATTAGAGGTGGTCTGATACCCGATCGTTTGAGTTTATTGATAAGACATATACGGTTAACCCTATCAAAAGTTTTTTGAGAAATCAAGGTAAATGATATCGAAATTCCCCTTGCGATCGATGATGATTGTCCATCTGTCCATCGCAGTCAGCAGGTTGGTTATACAAGAGTAACCCAAGGGATCGGTGTACACCTAGAACAAATAGTGTAAGTGATTATGAATAGAACTAAACAAGCTTAAACATGACGAACTTCTGTGTTTATTAGCAGTGGAATACCGATGCCCTTGTACGGGGACCAAGGTATCTGAAAAAGGTAGGAAAACGTTGATGAAGATTTGTGGCTCAGGTGGATGAGTTTGGTGGAGTTTTGTTCTATGGACTAGGTGATCCGGTCGTGGAGCTTCCGTCGTTATTGTGAATGACATCATCCGCACAAACTTCAGATTGGAAAGAAGTGTTCGAATTTCTCCACATACGGCTCACAACTTGTCTCGTAGTACTCGATTTTGATTGTTTATTGTTAACCTTTAACCTACCATTGTTTACTTCTTCATTTTGACTGTATCTCCCATTGATTTTATTTGTGGTCCTATATCTGTCCATGATTTGTTTGACTGATTGACAGACTAAATCGATTTCAATGTGTTTGTTGATTTCTGAATGATCTGAGCACCAAGCATCTTAAAATCCCCTAATGTTTTTAGAACTCTCTCTATCCAAGATCTTAACATTTTCCCAGTAGAATGTGTGTCCATAGTTTTCTTTATGGATTGATATAAAAGCGAAGATACGTTATGGCGTTTAACCGCTACTTGATGTTCGCTTAAGCGAATATGAATTTTTTTATTTTATTATTTTATTTCGTCCTTCGGTTTACGTCTAACTGTATGAAGTGACTTCGTTAGTTTGTGTGTTACACCTATTCCAAACGGCTTCAGCGATTTCGTTCTAATTCCTGATATGTCAGATGAGACAATTAGTTCTTAAAATTACTGATGAACAAAGATCGACTGGAGAAAACTGTTCGTAACGTCGCTCTGAAGAGCGTTCCTTTTAGAGCAAAGCCTAAAAATATCATTTCTTACGTGAATACGAAGAATTTGTAGTCCCGTGGTCATAGATGACGAACGTACCCTCTTTAAGTAAATGTTTATCAAAAACGAGTATTTTTCTATTTGTTGACAAGAATATAAAGCGAAAACTGCCTAAAGCATGCATAACCTCGAGTGAAAAGGAAATGTTTTAAATAAACACCAACTGAACGGATGATAGAGCTTCAAACAACCTGAAAAGGAGAATTTCTGTCTTTTCAGAGATCTTTCTTCTTATTAACGTTGTGACTAGTGTTCTCCAGTCGAGTTTTGTTGATCAATAATCTTAAGAATAAATTATTTCATCTGAACAATTATATGTGCATGTTAATTAACGTGCTTATATGTGGCCGGATATATAGGTCGTCTGATACCTCCTTTACACAAAAGAATTTAAGAACAGTACCCAACGTGCCTAAAAGGAGACGAAAACGGCTCAATAAGAAACTCAATGCTCGAAAACATTGCGAACACAATTCAATCGACCAAAGAAGAGTCCGCGCTGCAAATCATCTACAGGGTGAGCAGAAAGCTGCCAAAAGCCGTTACATTGCACAATATCAACAATGCCAAGGTAATAGCTATACATCTGGGGAAACCAGAATTGTGTGTCCGGAAAAAATTCGCAAAACCTCTTTTTCTATCATGGTCTTATTGTCTCAGAATATTCTCTCTTCGTCACTCTTTTTCTCCTTTACTGCCATCTGTTTCTCCTTCCATCTTCTCCATAGACCTTCTACCCCTATTGGTTCATTTCTCCCTCTCTCTCTCTCTATGATACTCCTGATTACATTTCACCGCATTTTCAACATTTTATCTTGTCATGCATAGCAACTCATTCCTAGTTTTTATTTCCCTATTTACCTTCATGAAGAATACTTAAGTGCTTAATAATAAAAAAAATTATTGATTTCCCTGATTAATACCTTTGTTTATTATACCTCACTGTTACCATGTTTAACAGAATTTTATTATCACTACCATTGCAATTATTTATTAACCTGGAAAAATAGGTATATATGTTTGCAATTGTACAGCTTTGAAAATAAGGTCGCAGATGAGAAGATAATTTGCTGAAGCAATCTTATTATATTTTATGTCTCAGTGGGTATATTTCGTTTATTTAAAAATGATTTGAAACACTACCTCAAGTCCTTAAAAATATGTCATGTTTATGTCGACCTGATTCGCATAAGAGAACACCAGAAAAAAGTAATTCAAATACGAGAATGTATTTCGTATACGTATATCTCGTGCACTCGTTCCCGCAGACAGACAATAAGTGAATCGAGGCAGAGAAGCGAACTGGACAGAGTGAATACATAAACTTGCTATACTACTCGTTACAAGCGTAAATGTAACTGTAAATGGACAGTGGATAATATGATAGAGAGACAGACATTGGATAAAATAATAAGTATTAGACAAACACGTACAAGTATACACAAGGTGCAGAAATACGAAGTCATGGAACTAATACGCGTGTTTGTACTGAAGGTCATAATTCCATATAAAAACAGTGGAGTTATCATGAAACTAAAAATGACACAATGTCACATGCTTTTTGAGCTATTAATGTCCTTGTCAAAAGCCACGACGAACTATGCAATTGTATAATTGTACTAGAAACACATGATTTGACTTTGATGTATAGAATACTAAGAAATGATAGTGGACTTCATGTATACTAGTAACAGCTTAAGTTTATTGGTTAAGAGTTGACCTCAAACAACAAAGTAAATGTGAAAACAATAGAGCTCAGTTATATATTCACTTCCTTATTTTGTATAGGCATTATATTTCCGATTATATTATATTGAAGGTTAAAAATCTTTGTGTATTTGAACAGGTAATCCCATGCTACACTGCGATTGCCACGCTATCTAAATAGAGACCTATTCACTACTAGTTTGATTTCCTCTATCAATAGGACGAGGTTTACCTATAGGAAGAAAATACTCTCTATTAATTAGTACGTAATCAGTTTACATCAAATAACATGGCAGGTGGCTACAAAAGCTAAGAACGATAAAAATATCAGTAGTATACATTCTCTCACACCAAATAACCAATTATTAGAACCTGCTATGCAAAGCAGTGTCCGAATCTTCAATCAATCATTCAAAAGGAGCTAAGATATCTACAAAAGCTTCCTAGAATAGGACTAACACAGGCCTTGAATCTGTCCCCAATACTCAAATCTGAAGCGCCACTCCGCAACAACTACTATTAATAATTAAGTTGCTTTTCTCCAAAGCTTGTACAAGGAATACAACAAGAATCATAGCATTTAGTAAGACAAGAAAGAGGGAAAAAATAGAAGGGGGGCATTATATGCTGCTCCTATTGACAACCATTAAACAGAAATAAAACAACAACGATAACTGTGCCGCATGTTCGTCGCTCTTTAAAACCATTGAACGTAATTTCTCTAGTGCTTGTAAAAATTGTCTCAGTGATAAAGCCTTACCTAAGCAGTAAAGTTACCATGGTCAGTGGTTCTGGCATATGTGTGGCATTACAATTCAGTTAGTTATTGACATTTGAACCTTAACTACCATATTAGTAGACCTAATTCAAAAGTTGTAGATTTTTCATTATGTGATTACCTAATTTACAAGATGCTACGTAGAAGTCACAACATTGTCTATGATGACATATCCTCTTTTGACAATCAGTAATTTGATGTTTGGCACTTCTGAGGAAAACATTGGGCCTGGGGATAAAATAATATGCTTAATATAAGTAGGATATAATTACAAGGAATGGCCATACTTGAAATCCAGAGA